ATGTGTTCTGTGTGTGTGCTGCCTCCAGCCAAGTACTGGCAGCGATCGCTGCCGGGAAGGGCCCGCATTTACGATTTATAGTACGCCGTGATGATGTGTCCTGTGTGTGTGCTGCTATGGCCGAGTACCGGCAGCGATCACTGCCGGGAAGGGCCTGAGCTAAGTATTAATAATTTGCCAATCGAGTCAATTGAAGAATGGAAAATAGCTGAATGGCATGTCAGGCGGCACTTTGTCAAGGCACATCCAGCTTTCCTGGGCGTCATGACCACGCCTCTATTTGCGACAAGCTTCCAGAATCTCAAAGTCCGTGACGGATGGCAACGGAATGCCAGGAAAGGCAACGGAAAAAAACATCTTTACAGAAATTGGTGGCTGCAAACACCCCCTTGACGGACAGCTCCAGAGCCAAAAAACTGGAAGCTGACGTGGCATGAACGGCTACAGAAAACCGGCCCCGGCAAAACAACAGAAAAGTGATGGACGGATTTTTTTGTCTTGAAAAAAAATACAAAAGTAAAATAACAGAAAAAAATCTGAGCGGCCACGTCTAGCATCAATCCGCCGTGCGGCACAATGGGATTCACATATCCAAAAGTCTAGGATAAACAACTGACATTTAGCAGCCCGTCCTCCGAACAACGAATGAGTGCCGTGTCCAGAGGGTTGAGCCAATGGCATGACAAAATTTGGGGACGCCTCCGAAGGTGCTACATGACATCACCGTTTGACGCGGCAGCTGAGGTCTCCAGCGGGGGGCGGACGACAGCCTCGATGGGCGGCCGGCCTCACAGAGCAGCTGGCGCACATCAAGCCCCAAAGACCGACGCTCTTCTTTGGGAGGGGGAGGCCGGCCGCCCATCGAGGCAGCTACTTGCGAGGTGCGCGATGCGGCTGGGGTCGCTTGCGATTTAGAGCTGGCTGTCCCATAAAAGTGAGGGAGAAATCGGAGTACCCCCGCGCCTAGATGGACGGGCTGGGAGGCCGAGAGGCAGGGGGTCGAGGGGGGGATTAAAAAAGAAAAGGAAAAAATGAGGCCGGGGTCAGCCAGCTTGAGGAGGTGTGTCCAAGGGGGTGGGGAAGAGAGGGGGCCTCCCCTTGGTCGGGCAGGAACGAGGCGGTAAGGTAGGGCCCGTAGGACTAGGATGGGGACACACCTCCGAGAAGAAGAATAGTAGATTTGCTGTCAGTAGGGGTGTTCGGCCGAGGGGAGCGGCCGTAGGGCTGGATTCGTGAGCGAAATGGGGGCTGGAGCCCCCTGAGGGGCGATGCATTTTGGATACGGATATTCGGCCACAGGCCGAGGGCCCGGTCCACCCACGTGGGTGGGGCACGGGAGACGGTGGATGCAAGGGAAGTATCCAGGTTCCGCCCACGGGCCCGGGGCAACTACATGCCCCAGGCCGTCTCAGGGGCCAAGGATCACAGACGTGTGTTTTGCGAAAGCAGCACGTGGCGCGACGCCTGCGGATGCAGCGGCGCGGCAGGCCCGTGGGCATTAGCTGGTAGCCCCCTTTCGCGCACTCGCCGTCAGTATAATTGACGTGTTGCGAGAGCGGTTATTAACCATCTTTGTGTGTGTGCGCGGGGGAGGGGGGCTACAACTTCCCTCCCCCGTGCGAATCAGGTGGAAGGCTCAGTGCATCTAGCAGAGCCGGGCCCGCTTCACATGCCAACGTGCGGGGAGAGATTGGCAGTCAAGAGCAAGGCCGGGTGCACAATGCCGCGTCGTGCATCCCATGTGAAGCGAGGCCGCAATTCTGACGCCACGTGAACGCGCCGGTGGAGAAGTCATGCCATGCACAGTGACAACTCTCTTCAACGTTTGATTCGTGGCCATTGCTCGTGCTTGCGACCGGAAAGGCACACTTGGACACTTCGTTCGAGCATGACACGACCGTTGAGCGTCGTCATGTAATACTTTGAACACGACATTCCCTTTTGCCAGCAGCTGTTTTTGTGGCTTGGCGGAGATGGGCGGGGGCCACTGCGCCGATTTTGAAGCCGCCTCTACAAATGCGCCTGTCGTATTGCGTCACAGAAAGGAAGCCTGCGTGTCGGTGATGGAACAACTGGCGTCAACACTCATGCGCTGCACCCTCTTCAAATGCCAGACCCAATGCCCACATACGGCTGGCATCGCCTGCATTCGCAGGAATTTAAAGCATCGGAGAAAAGCGCCATATACGGAAAAATAAACTCCCAGTGTTAGCCATCCACCTTTCGATAACCACCGATTCAGCGACGGTGAGCCATCGAGTCGATCCATCCACCAATGAAGCTATGGGTATGGCTGGACAGAGTTCCCTTAGCTGGGGTACAGCGGCTGCCCGTGGCCATGGCCCTCACAAGAAATCCTTGACGGATGCCATCCGCAGGGAGGCTCTATCCTGCCATCGTCTGGCTCGTGTTTTTGGTTTGACCAATGCACTCAACAGATAGACAACACGCCCTACATGGCAAACTGACCACACTGCAGGCAGGAGTTAGACATGGCAATGTGTTGCAGATTAAAAAACTACAGCTCAAACCGTTTCCTTCCCTCGCTCACTGCTGTTGCTTACTCTGTACATCTGCTGGCCCACCAGGCCCCAAGTGCCACAGTTCCCAAGCCTGCAGTCAAGGGTCCCATGCTGTGCATATAGGGACAGAATGCACACAAATCCACGACCCGGGCGCCCAAATGCTTTCAAGAAATCGGCACAGCGAAAATCTCGAAAAGAATTGGTAAGTGGCAGATGCTGCAAATATGCGCAGTGTTGTTGTTTTGTCCGCATCAGGTACTTTGTGTCTGCAGAGAAAAGGGGACGCCATAATACACTTTACGTACGGTATGCTTGTGGTGATTAAATCGTATTGTGCATGGCTCCGCGCATTGTATGACCGCCCCCGGCAAGATTCTTGGCGCCCCGCTGGTCTCAATTTCAGGATCTGCGGATTTCGGCGCTGTTGTCAGAGGGCCGACATTCAGTGCGATGCTCTCTCGGCCTGCTGCAGCCGAGCCCACTGTTCCCCTGATGTGGATCCAGGAACACGTCGGAAAAAAGTTGAGTATCCTGGATATACATATCCAGGATATGGCCGTATCCCAGGATATGCCCTCCATACAGCATACCACACTGTTCTGCAGTTTTCACTGCAGCGAGGATTCAAGAAAAGCAAAAGGTGACTTCCACAATTTGTAGCATTCGCTTATTTTTATCCTCGTCCTGGGCCGTGTCCCTCTCGTCTGATAGCATTTGCACTACATCCAGGACAAACACCCAGTTCGAAAATGAAAAACCTTACAAATTCAACAATGTTACTTGCGAATGTCGCACAGCATCGCCACAGCCTCCAGAAATATTATTCAATGCCTTAATCTCTGACGGACATCATGACGCCCAAGCACAATATTGTCAAAGAGGTTATAGTGGGGAAGCCGAATTTCAACGATTTTTTTCAAGTATTGCAGCTTTGTGCATTTTGCCTGCGGTAGCAACTCTATCCGCCATCGCCACACCGGGTAACACCGTGCGTGTTGCTGCTCATGGGCAAGCTGGATTATGTCCGAATGCATTAGTATTGTAAAAGGCGGGGCATGCGCACTGATTCAGATATGTGGAAAGTTTTGGGTCCGACAGGGGGTGGCTATGATAAACTCTTGCTCAACGCTATAAGCACTCAGGCAGCCGTCGTCAGCCGGCCTGTGCAGGACGTGCGCAGGGGCCGCTGGAGGCACCTCCAATACTAATGACTTCCGCCCTGAATCGGAACAAATTTGGATCATTTTCGCATTTTCTAGTCTCAAAGACGTATTAAGGGAGCGGCGGACATGCGCTGACCCAGCCAGTTTCAAGTCTCCGTTTCAAGCCCTGGGATCTCAGCCAAGCCACGTAATCTGATTGCCAACATCTTGTCGTTCCCCGTCTTGGATGCATGCATTCCAGTACTCCACAATGTACTCTACTATGCACTCCATTCAATGCAGGCTACTCAAAGCCGCGGCTTGCCAAGCCACCTCACCCAGACCGCACTCTCCAATGGCCACCACTTTGCCCTCTTTCATCCCCTCCCGCGCGATGGCCAAGAGGGCATCCATGTAGGCATCTGCGCCGTCGGCGTGGGACAAGAATTCGCCACAGCGCGTGGGATGCACCCCCACCGTGCAGAAGAGGCGATCTACGTGCATTTGCGCACTTGGTCAATTATGGCAGCGCTTAGATTTTCCAACGCCGGTCACTGTTCATTGCAACACAAATATGTACATGTAATGACAGGCATGACACAACGTTGATATGCTAATAGCCATGACTACTTCAACCAGGCGACTTGCGCGCAATGCTGAACAATGTATTCATTTGACTAATTAATTGGACGCCCCTTGCTGTAGTTGCTGCGGTGAATTGTGATTTGATGCTGAGCAATCCAGCAGTACCCATGCATGTTGTCGTCCTTTTCTGCGCAGCATTCTCTCAACGCTGAATTGATAAGTTTAAATGTTCACCGTAACAACACAAGTGTTCATCAGCACAGACAATAACACATGCGTGGGTTACGCTCTAGATCTGTCTTGGGCTAGAGATTCAAATGAATACTGTGTTGCAACTTATTCGTATTTACGTGTATAGTGCTGTATGCTGCAAGCACATTGTGCTGATGTCATATGATAAGGGATATGGGACGCAGGTGAGCTGGGGATGCACCAAAAATGGGACTGAAAGACAGGCTGCAATCACCAGTCGACAGAACGCAAGGGTGGAGCGCAGGGATTTCATGCATCAACACAGTTGTGATGAGATGCACCATGGATATTCTTCCAGCACCCTGAAAGGCCCATAACAACACTTGCAGATGCGATGCAGACACGACCATTCCAACACATTTGTTTATAAACATATATGCCGCAATGGTCATTTAAATAAAATGCATGCGACATCGGAGAAGTAGAAATAGTTGGGAGCATAGCTGGGGGACTATAGCTGGCATTTTAATTGGAGCCTAGCGACCCGACCTCTCACCACGAATATCCTGACGTCTCGCCATCGCTCGTCGCAACGGCGTCCAAATCCACGCACAGCAGCCGTCAGGGCGCCAGCATCAACGCCACATCCCAAACCTCCACCCACGCCGGTCGCAGAAACCCATCCGCCAGGAACCCTGACGCCACGTGCATCTTTCAATGCCGACACCGGCGCCACCGCCCGCTCGGCCGCCGTCCCAGCACTCGCCTCGGCCGCACTTCCCATCTCCTAACCATCAGAATCGGACGACCGTCCAGCCGAGCTCGACCGTTGGACGCCGCCCCCATTTGAAGGACATACGCTGCCCGACGAAAAGCGTCGCCGCTCCACGCACGATCCAAGACGACCACCGGCAGCGACCGGACGCGTACCACCCACCTCAGCCGGGGCGGGACGCCCGCGGCTGTTCGCGCCCCTCCACTGAGGCCCCTTGCCAGGGCCCTGCGCCTCCAGCTCCCTCCAGCGCGACCCAAACACCCACGCACCTCACCGGGCACAAAAGCGCCCCCCCTCAAGCAAATCCCAGCGCAAAGGCCAAAAAGCCCGAAAACCGAGCCCCAATTTGCACCCACCCGCATCCCCTGGGCCGAGTGTGCGCCACGTGGGCGCCCACCCCGGCGCCCGGTCCCCGCCCGTCCGGCCAGGGCCAGGTTCCCTTGCGGGCCCCACGGCCTTCCCGCTGGCTGTTCCCAACCGCCTTGCCGCGTAACCCACACACCGCACCCCCCCCTTCTCAGTCGCCGCAGCGCACTCCCCCACCAGCTCTTTCGCTCCCACAGAGCCTCCCCGGCAGCTTGGCTATCGAACCGCAGCGCCCGTGCTTGGGGGCCAGACGCCCGTTTTTCCGCCGCGCGTTGCCGCGGGCTGGGCTCCAGGGAGTTGGAAGCGCATCGGGGGGGCGGGATGGCCGAGCGGGGCGCGGACGTGATCGAGGTGTACGCGGCGCAGTGCCTGGCGAAGTGCGCGCAGATCATCCTGGGCTCGCGGATTTTTAACGCGCCGAGGAGCCGGCCCGATGAGAAGACGAAGCGATGGGTAAGCAGGGGGGGAGGGGGGATGCGCGAGATGGGGGAGGGTGGGGGGAGGCAGAGGGATTGTGGTGCGATGGCATGCTGATGAGATTCAGGGGGTTTGGGCAGAGGTGGTGGTGATTTGCGGCCTGCGCCCTCCGCGGCCATTTGCGTGCTGTGGGGCTGTGGCGGGGGCGCGGGGAATGGCGGGGCGGGTTGTGCGAAGCTCGGAAACCTTGTTTGAATGTGGACCCGGCCGGTTGTTCGCGCTCTCGAGAGCTGTGGATGGATGCCGAGGCCGCGGGGGCTGCGGAGCGAGGGCGACGCCCCGCCCTGGCGCCGAGCGTGCCACGGCTGAGTCGTTCTGTTGCTTGCCTGCACAGTTCAGCCTGGCGGTGGACGAAATTGAGCCGGCGGTGGGGGAGCTGGCCGCCTGGAAGGCCGACATATCGATGCCGCTGGTGGTGGAGGTGAGGGCCGGGCGGGGACAGGGGGCCCTCTGATTGTTGGGGATCCTGGCATGCTGTTCTCCAACATGCCAAGGGCCCCCCGGAGGCATTCCGTTTGATCGCGTTTTGCCAACACGTGAGAGAGCACCGCCATTGGCACAATCAAGCTGCTGGGAGGAACAAATTGCATCTGATTTGTTTTGTTTGTCCTCAAAGGACAATTCTGGTGGGAGAAGACAAACATAATGCAAATGGTCTGTGTGCCATTGTGTGGGCGGAGAGAGCGCTACTCTGTCATTTGGCGGTCCTGCTGATGAATCCTGATTCTACAGTGGGGATCAAATTGGGCATTGGGGCCATTCACTGGCAAAAACTGCCTGGATCAACAGTGTGACTTGCACGAACTCGTGTACACAAAAGGCCATTGCTACACTTGCTGACCCACCTGTTGGGCAATCAGTTCAATGTATGAGCATTGCGTCAGATTCAGTTTGCAAAATTGAAGTCAGTGCAGGACACAAGCGGCTCCTGGCAGTAGCACCACTGTTCTTCAGAACCCAGACAGATTACCCTGCTGCATTGTGGCTGAGGTTGCTAGAGTGAATAGGGTGTGAAGGAAAAGGAGCACCTGGAAGCAGGCCCTCCATTCCAAACCTCAACAGACCTCACTCAAGTTGTGGTGCTGTCTTGTATCAGATTTACTTGAAGACATACCGTGCACCTGATGGAGATGACCCTGATGCGCCTCCCACACCAGGTATGAATGTTTCCCCCTTCGCCACTCCACCTCACCCACCCACACCTTGCCGTTGGCTGTTATCTCTGTTATTACGTTTGTCAAGGGACATGACAGTGCATTGAACATTGCTCTGCTGTTGCTGCACCTATCAGATGGGGTTGGGTGTTGCCTGCAGCAAAAGGGCATGGTCCCAAGGAAATTGTCTGCATGATCGCTCCAGACACCCTGATTAACTGCTGGCATCCGATCTTGGATGTGCCGCAAATATTGTCGATACACAATCAAAAGCCTGTCATCCAGCACAGCACATTGTCTTGTGACCTGCCCTCCTGTTTGTTTGAACCCACATGCTGTGGCAGCCGCAAGAGTTGCATCTTCTGAGTAACATCGCCTGTCCTTTCTCACCCCGTATCCCTCTGCTTGCTGTCTGGTTGAGGGCCTATGCTCAGCCTCATTGATTAGTCATGCTGCTTTCTAGACAGGATGCATCAACATGAAGTCATTGGCATCAAAATGCAGTGACATAACGAATGCCCAAAAGGCTGGTTGGCCCCATGCCAGAGGCGAGTTGTTGGGCCCCCCCACAGGGGCACCGTCTTGCTGCCATCGATGCCTGTTCAATGTGCAAGTATGCTTGAACACTTGCACCCAGGGAAGGCACACAGGCTGCTATGGAGCGTTCTGAAAGGCCTCTGTCTGTGTGTTGTACAGTGAAGACACTTCTGGAGCGCTGGGTGCTGCAGTGTGAAAGGTCAAGGTCCCCTGTTGGGCCCGCACCATCTAGCGGAGTGCCATCAGTGTCGCGGATGGACAAGCACACTGTTTACAAGCGAATGGTGAGACAACACATGTCCATCTTAGGACTATGCCACTGTTCGTTTCATCTCCAGCGACAGTGCACCCTTTCCTCCCCAGCTCTTGCTTAGAGTGCGACTGTATTTGTATTCAGCATGATTAACTGATTTAGCTTTGCTGATACATTCATAGCTCTTCAGGGGCTTCACGATTCGGGGAACGGTTCCAACCTCCAGGTTTCGGTTCCTGTGGCTCATCATGCTTGGCATATTGGACAGCTGGGCATGCCAGAGAGCAGCTGCATGGCAGTGATTCCGCCTCAGTCCTCTGTGGCTGATCAAGAACAGTGATGCAGCTCACAGGGTGTTTTGAACAACTGCGTAGTCTAAATGTGTTGTGAATGGAGCACTGCTTGTTGTAAAGAATGGTGCAGTTTGGGGGCGGTTCTTGATGGATTTGGGAATCTGGTTACTTTCTGATGCTTTTGTGCTTTTAAGCTTTTAATGTTTGTCCTAGCCTGGTATGCAGGTTAGCGATGCTTGTCTGTCAAGCGTAGTTGGCATTCATTCTTGTCTGCGCCTGGTTGAGTTTGTTGGGCACACTCTTCCTTCTGAAACTGGGATACACACTGCCGTTGAGGGTCTTCTGTGGTTGTTTCTGGGTTCCAGCCTTTGCTGACTACTCGTGCCAAAATGTGTCACATTTCTGTCAATCCTTCTATCAAGCAATGTCGCTCTGCGTTTTGTGCAGGGTGGGTTTGGCCGACTGACGTTTGCTGCTGTATGGCTGCACAGGCAATCCTCACACGGTCATTGTTCAGCTACTTGCGTGTGCTGCCAGCGTTCCGGCTGTACAGAACTGGCAAGGTGATGCACAGATCTTCGCATCTGTTGATAAACATATTGTCAATGATACACAGGCCGAATGTGCTGGGGCACCGTGCCCCATGGCATGTGTTGCGCTGATGTGCCCATGAAGGACAGGTTGGACCAATCGAGTTGTGAATTGCTGATGTTAAGACTGACCCAAACAGCATGCTGATTGTGTTCTATTTTGGTTCTGAATACTTGCAGTGAGCTTACAATTTCAACTCTTCGTCTTGCAGCGATCGATGCTAAGGCCACGAAAGTTGATTCATCGACTCTCTCACACATGGTGTACTAGCTTAAGACAACTGGCATATGAGTTCCACACAAGGAAGACTGAATATGATCCACTGAGAATGAATGATGAGAGTGAATGAGAGCCACCACCTCATCGCTAGCTATGGAAATTGGTGAATGACAGATTGATGGATAGTGCAAGGGCAGCAGCAGCGGGAGGAGCGGTGCAGCAACAGAACGAAATTGTTGGAAATGACTGTGTGGATTTGTTTTGGCGCTGGCACTCCTTAGCACTAGCAGTGTACAAGGCGGACAATAAAGCAACATATTGAGTTCTGAGCTCATCGGCACTGGATTGCCACATATTCTGCATGTCCTCCTGTTTGGGTAGTGGAGGCGGTGTTGTGAGTGTGTTTGTGTGTGTGTGTGTGTGTGTGTGTGTGTGTGTGTGTGTGTGTGTGTGTGTGTGTGTGTCAAGTTTGTGTGTAAAAATCCTGAAACACAGGTCATACATTGGAGCAAGCCCTCCCAATCAACCATACAGCAGGGCCTGTTCTGCTTTGCAGCACTATAGGTGTTTTTGCGTTTCTCAAGATGTGTTAGAATCCCTGAAACACAGGGATATAGGTGTTTCGGTGTGGGGGTGGGTGGGTAGGGTCGGTGAGCAAAACGTGTGTGTGTGGGGTGGATGTATGTTCAGGGCCACACTCCCAGAAGCCCCTGGCTTGGGACTTGTGTATCAGAGCACTGCACAACACAGTTTGCATTACAGGCATATCTGCCCCATTTGTGTTTGCTGGCCACACTCTCAGTGGAGAAGAGCACAATCTCCATATCTTGTGCTGGTGCACTGCACTGCAGCCTCAGGGCACAGAGTCAGCATGGTATGCTCTTATACTGAAACCAGCTAGCTGACAAGCTGGCATAGAATCTGTGTACACCAAGGCCTGCCCTCAACTAGGGCACCAACCCTTTGGGTATGCAGTTATTCGCAACGAACGAATGAATGTATCTACTTTAGGGGCGCCAAAGAAGACCATTGGTGATGGCATGTGCCTCTTCTGAGTCGTCAAGCAGCTTAGGTTTGCCATCGGTTTGCAACGACGTTGTGATGCTTGGCAAAGGGTTTGACAAAGAGCATGCAATGCTGATGTTAAGCTGCGGCTCAAGTGCTGAAGGTGTCTCTGTGCCATTGTGCCCAGCGTGCTGGTGGACGGACATTTGACCTGGAGTACTCTCTGTTGAAGTCCTTGTCTAGCGATGGGGAGGCTTCCAGTTCAGACTTCAGCCACTTCAGTTTCGCTCCTTTAGAGACTCCGATTGGAGTTCTGAATGTATCTGTTGCCTATTGCCCATCCACTCGTTTGAGTATATTCGAGGTGAGTGCCTGTCTTCCTTCTTCTTTGTATCCAATTCAGCGATTGAGCAATTCTTTATAGTGCAATTGCCTCCACAAGTCAACGTGGAGCCCTTGCAGCATGTTCCTGACAGCGGGTTTCCATGCCTGTGCGATGTTGTCACTGTTCATTCAATCCTCACTCCTTCACTTGCTGCTGCTGAGCGGCCTGCCAGTGCTGCACAGTGATGAGTAGAATCGATTCTGTCCAGTTCAGAGTGTCACTACTCGACAGTGGGTGCTTGTCCAACATTCTCTGAGGCACTCTCACCGTTCTCTTTGGTCCTGCAGCAAACTGACCAACCACACGCCCTACCGCGCATCATATCAGACTACATTGATAGTCCGAGGCGCCGCCAGGCGACCTCCGTCTCTGCTCGTCTGTCCACCAATGCTCCCGTGGTGTCAGAAGGAGGTCCCACTGTGTCAGGTAAAATTTCGAAGACAGCCATTCAAGTGAAAAGACAACTTGCCCTGTGTGCTGAGCTCCCCCCCTTTTTGTGTAAATTTGAAGCCCTGTTTTTTATAACAACGTTTTTATAACGTTGCACCTGAAGTTCATGTTTTGGGCATTCACAGCCTGGTTGCAAAAGTGCAGTTGTTGGGCAGTCTATTGAGGTATTGCCTATTACCCAAATGAACAGTGCACTTTTGTAACGTTTTGCTCTGCCTTGCCATGGGCCTGCAGAAATATCTCTCTGCACCAAATGTGTAGAGACATCAGATTTGCTCATTGCTGGACATGGAAAATTTCCTCTTCTTTTTAATGGAAAAAGTATGTTTGAAACGACAGTGTGTCACCACCAGGGCCTCGAAGCGATGCCCGCAGTTGCTCAATAGGCTCCAGTGGGTTGTGTCATGCTGTACATGGATGAGATAAACAAACTTGGTAAATGTCATAAATGTAACAAAGCAGTCAGTACAAATTCCCTGCAACATGCGTGTTTCACTATTTATGTCAGGGAGTGGCGCCAGTCCAGTTTCAGCACCTTTCGTGCAGCGCCACAGCTGGAGCAGCAAGGACTTGAGCCAGCCCGGGGTCTCTGAGCCACCACCGCAGGCAGCCCACCCCAACCCCATGCCGTCCCCACGTCCATCAACGTCTTCCGGTGCAAGGCTGCCAAGCAGTCGCAGGACTCCCCGCACCCCTCGATCGGCAAACCCAGCTGGGCCATCCACTACCCAGGGGCCCCAGGGGTCCGGGCCACAGAGGCAGGTTGTGCCACAGCAGAAAGCATTCAAGCCGAAGCCCCGGGGGCTGAGCCCAAGGGAGGTTAAGGTGGCAGAGGAGGGGGGAGGCAGGCGGACAAGCAGACCGGTGGTGCAGGGTGGGTTGTCTGCAGCAGCTGCAGCAGGTAAATGGTCAGAATGTGCTGTCTGTTCCTTCATTATTTGTCAAAACGGACAAAGCGCTGCCTATGCACCTGCGGGGGGATGTTGGTCACCGTTAATGGCCATGTGTCTTGTCAGGGCCAACACACATGCTCTTTAATGTGATGAAACATTGGCTACACAACAGGAAAAGAAACAACTGTGGTGTGCTGTGTTGTTTGTATACTGCTCCAATTAATGTCGTATGGCTGGTGCTGGTTGACACCTATGCGCTGGGTAGGTTTCTGCGATCAATCCAACAAGCAAGATTCCAAGGCATGCTTGTTGAAAGCTGGAAGCCATGTGCTGCCCTTTTATGAGCTTTGAAACTCATTTGGCACAAGGCATACATTTCCGTGCCCATCATCGCCTGTAAGGTGCAAGCACACCGCCTTGTTTTGGAAGGCAAATTTAGACAAAGGAAGGTATCTTCAAATTTCAGGGAACACAACTGTCAAGAAGCCGTGACATATACATCCATCGGCGATGGCATCAGGCAGGACAAGCCCTGCAGGCGTTCTAAAGTGTAGATCATAGACCATAGTTCTTCATGCGACTCAAGACTTCCAAAGTGAAAAGGGGGCAGCTACAAGGTGATGATGGGCATTGCCACTACCAAATGTTGTTTTGTTGCATATTTGCTTGTTTCTCTTCTCTTCTTCCTGCTGTGTTATGTCAGTTGTCATTCACAGTCACATATGTCTCCTCCTGACATGTTTTTGATTCCGTTCCAGTATGTTCCATGCTGCACTACACCTCACTGGATGTTCAGTACTGTTTTTGGCAAAGGTGTGCTTCGTCTTTACAGCAAATGTGCAGTCAAAGGAAGCTAAGAGCATCATAATCGGTGGGTGCTATTTGGTCTGTTTAGCACAACAAGTCAAAGACCATCACGAACGGTTTGTGAGCTATGGCCCACCGAGACTATTCGGTCTTGCGCAGTGCTTTTGGCCCCAAATTGGCCCCAAATTTTGGCCCCAAATTGGCCCCAAATTTTGGCCCCAAATTCCACCGCTCAAGACCACCTAGCACCCCAGAATAGCACCTGGTGCTGTTTGTGCAGAACATAGTAGTGGTGTCTTGGAACGGCCCTGATGCTGTTTGTCCAAAGTTTACCACGCAATAGCACCCACTGTTACAGATGCACGAAGGCAAGCAGAGGCGTTGGTGATATTCGGCAAATGCTGCCTTAGTGGGTTGGGTCGGCAACCATGAGAGCCATTCCTGTATGGCCTGTTTACCCTGGTGCAATAGCACCCACAGATAGAAATGCTCTGAGCGAGTTTTCCATGACGTTTCAGCCCAGAGTGCCGCCAGTGTGCTGCGGCTGTGTGTGTGGAGGATTGCCTTTGCCTCACAAACAGGTCCGCTGATCAGTGCATGTGCAATCATTCTTGCGCTTGCATTGTTCAGAAAACACTGATGGAGGTGCTGCACACTTCTATTCCTCATTCTTGTTTAATATGCCGAGAAGCAGTCTGGAAAGAGGGCTCTGCACAGTGATCACATCAATTGATAACCCACTCCCGTCTGAGTGTGCATTTCTACCTATACGCCCAGCACAGCAAATCCAATTATGCACCACGCCCTGGTGTATGTGTGTGTAAATCCTGTGTAATTACATTTGCCAAAAGACGAAGCAAGAGCCCTTGCACCATAAATTGGCGATGTTGGGCAATGGTCCCGGGCACACGATTCTGTTTGAACCCACAACGCACCAGTATGTCTGCTGCACATCTGGCCATTTCAATTCGTGTGTGATCTTCGTTGTGCTGTGGGTGCAGGAGAGATAAAGGCGCATGAGCCACAGGTGCCTGGCCCGGTGCTCCAGCCTAAGGGGGTGACCATCAAAGCACCCCCTGTTGAGGAAGATGGTGGTGGGTCTCCGGAGTCGCCAGGCCACTTCCTGACGGGGAGCCGCAGCTCACCAGTTTGCATCCCTGGGTGAGCAGCCTCGCTGATATTTGTTGTGTCACTTGTGGAGCAACTCAGCGTCAAGCGACCCAGATTTGAACTATCGGTATACCAGCAGAACCTTGCTGTGTGCGTGCACGCCTGTCGCTTTGGCTTCTGTTAACCCCAGACAACTGGCGCATGTGGTCATGGGTGAATAACTGTTGAGAAGAGAACTATTAGAGAACTGCTTTCTGGCTTCCCCCAATTGGTGCAAGGGCAGTTCTCAGCTGCAGTTCACGAATGTTGTGACAAAGATATCTGGCATCTTCTAATGCAGCCAGGGCCCATAAGTTGGATGGTAGTTGGCCAATGCAACTTGACAAATCCAAACCCTTACGCGTTTCAGACACTGGCAGGTGTATGTAACAGTCTCTGGCAAATGTTGGCTTCTTCCTCACAAGACAACTTCATGTTGCGGCGATGTGTGATCAAGGCGCCTTGATTTTTGTTTTAGAGGTGTCATGCACGCAAAATCTGAGTCACTGCAGAGCACATGTCAGCAGCCCAGAGACTGATTTGCAAGATATGTCTGCCAGAGGCAAGAAGCAAGTGAGGACAAAGGCCAGGCTGTTGTGGACAATCAGAGACGTCTCTGCCAGTACAGTAAAATATTCAACCCTTCCCCATCAGAAAATTTCACTGTTATGCTTTTTGCTCTGCACTTTGTTTTCAAAGCATTATTTTTATTTTTTTCACATTGTTCTGCAAAAGAAGGCCAAGCGCTGTGTTGCTATTTATTAGTTTTCCTCCACAACAAAAGGTCAAACTTTGCGTCACTATACGGAAGGGTTGATATGTTGTGACATCTGTCCCTCCTCAAGCTTCAACCTACACAGCCGTCAGTCATCAGGTGCGATTTGCCTTCGGAGGGAATGCGAAACTGGCACAGTACATCAGAAGCAAAATGCCATCCAGCAGTACGTGTCGAGCGACCTGACAGTGTCTTGCACCTCTGTTGCCCCAGCCGTCAGGACGAGCGCCCGCAGCTGCAGGCCCCACCTCCTGCTCGCCCAATGGCTGTGGACATCTCCCACACCTCCTCCTCCAAGCATGCCTTCTCTGCCTCCTCCGCACCTGCTGCCTCCCAGGGCCTTACACCCATGTCCATGGACCCACCCACCCCTCGAGAGGACAAACGCCACAGGCAAAAGGGGTCTGGCGTCCGGTCCACCTCCCAAGCAGGGGGTCACGAGGGGGTGTCAGGCAGTGACAGCGACATTTCCAGTGTGTGTCCCATGTCCTGCAGCCCGCAGCTCCCGTTTGCCTTCACGCCCTCTGGCCAGTCCAGCGTGGGGGAGCACCACGGCTTCGGTGCAGTGGGGGCATCGGGCCCGTCGCCGCCCATATCAGGCCGGGACATCTCTGCTCTGGCCATCATACGCCGCCCCTCTTGGACCTCAAGGTACGGCTAGAGATATGCGCATTTCCGCACAATGCTGTTAGCTTGCTTGTTTATGTATACGTACTACATATTATGTGTATAAATCATTGATTCATTAGTTCATTTATTTCTATGTGATGCTGGACCTCTGGTTGGATGTGCTTGAAAATGTTTATTGATTTGGAAAGCCCTTGATGCCCCATCGTGGAGGCAATAGCTCTGGAACGCATTTGTCAAAACACATGGCCAACAGACACTTGCACCTTGCAGGTTTCGAGGAACACAAAACTTACAAGCAATGCTTGGTTGATGTCGCCAGATGAGAATTCCACACACCACCCTCATGCAGTCATTTGCAAGTTGTGTTCCTTATCTACCCTCACCACGTCCACATCCTATTTTCAACCTGCTTTCTCGATTGTCCTCATACTTCTGGTACTGGCATCATTATTGAATCGTTTGATGTGTCCACTAACTGCATGTTCTTGCTTAACAGCATTGATGAGCTAGACAGGCAGCACGTGACTTATGTTGTTCCCACCGAATGCAACGAATATATTTGTGTTCAGTTCAATGTGCCTACATGATCAGCCACACTTGTCCCCTTTGCTTTACTTCTTCTTGGTCAGTTAATGTAATTTTGTTCCAATTGTTGCATCATATTAAAAACATATGACATTGTTGCATTGTTAGTCATATCAGAGGGTTCCACCTGAGAAGCACACTTTCTCCGGGATATCCACACGTTATGCAAACAATGTCCATCTTCCTGCCCATTTGCAGCCAGCCAACTCATCAGACTTGGGACATCAATCATGCAGCAGTGCCTGACTGCACAGGTGGTGAGTGTTAAAATGAATGGATGGGGGACATAAAAGCATTTTTTTGATGACCGAACGCCCATAATCGCCTGCAAGGAGCAAGAGCACTGGTTTGTCTTGTCAAAGGCCGTATTAGAGAATTACAGCGCACTTACGGCCAGCTCCACAACAGGACTTAATTCCTTTGCCCCATGCGCATCTGCCAACTGCAAGTAAGACAAGTTCATGCCTGACGGATTGTTTTACCCACTCAGGTCGTTTGACATCAGCAACACCAAATTCTCCGACCCACTGGAGGCGTGTTGGCTGTCCTCTGGGCCCCCGACCCTACCCCCCCTGTCCTTCACATCGTCCATGGCGGATGCTTCCTCAGTGGCTTCCCAACCCACTTTCTACGGACCACCCAGGCTGACGGGGCCCCCGCCGCCCGAAGAAGTCGCCGAATCTGTGGCTGAGTCCGATGCGGACATGCTGCCCTTCGCTCTGGAGAGCCCCCCAAGCTTCGGGGACATCATGCAGGGTCGCAGCAGCGCCGGGGGCTCATCCAGCGCTCCAGGTGCTTTGGAAATCCAGGCTGCTGATCATTGATTCCTTTCAATATCATTATACTACCTCTGTCCCATTGCACGCGTCCCCGGTGATGTTGCACCACTGCAGTCGTGTGCAAACTTAATCGGACATCATGAATATTTTATTTCGCGATCATGGCTGTGAGTGCAGAGGATGACATCCAAAATTTAGATCTGAATTCAAAGTAACGAAGAGCTGGTAGTGCTTCGACTCCCCATGTCTCTGGTCAAAAAGGTCGAACTTCATGGGTTTCAAGAACAGCCCAAAATCGTCATGGTGAGGCGTTCTCTTCTAGCCAGTGCGGCAAGGCTGAGCTTTGAGAATTTGCAATGCCACAATGTTTGAAGGTCGTTGTACTCACCATAATGAGGCAGGGGGTCTTCAAGAGCGTGCTCCTAAAGGCTTGATCGGTAACCATCGTCTGATCGCCAATTTTTTGCCGAATAAGCGCCAATGGGCTGCTGCCGAATGGAGCTGTGGAGAGATTCCTTTGTGTTTTGAGCTGCCCTTGGAGGTTTCGGCACTTGGCCCTTCCGATTTTCATTTTTTCTTGAACGTTTGATATCATCTATGTAAAGACATAGCGATTCTAAAGGGGCACTTTTGTTTTGGGACATATGAAATATTGAATCGTCTGTGTGATCAATATCGGAATTGATGGCCATTTGCTGCATTATTGATATTATGCTGATAGGCACCTGACTTGGTTTGTCAATTCGGGCGGACTCAACTGGACAATTGATTAATGCCCATCCTTTGTGCCCAGGATCTAGCTCGCAACAGTCCGACGCTGCTGTCGTGAACTTCCTACGGCTGATGCAGGAGGCGCCTCCGCTCGTTGGCGCGAGCGCCGATGCTCCCACGATGTCTGTAGAGCAGGCAATGGAGCAGCTGCAAGCGCTGAAGCTGAAGGTCGGGGGTCTAAAGTCCTCGACCGGCACCTAACCCAGGCCCATCCAGCCACACAGGCGCGTTTCGCAAAACGGGGGCCTGTACATTATTGTGTTAGAAACCGGCAGTTGGATCCACAGCAACGGTGGCTGTGGCTGTTCATCTCCTTATTTCATTGGTTTCTACACTGCCGATAGGTTGCTGCGTTTCTGCTGTCCGCAATAGGGGCGTCAGAGGGCAGGATTCGGCGAGATAGGTTATTTTTCATTCCGTTTTCAGAATTCATGCGGTCCCCTGCAAAGTTGGCCTGGCCTTATTGTCCAGAGGGGTGGGGCTTGCTTTTCAGTCCCCACACAGGACCGGCGCTCTGCCAGACAGACGAATATCCTGGTGTGGCACCTGCTTCGATGCAAAATTATTTTCGGGTGAAACCCTTCGTTCTGTGATTCCTGCACAAACGATTGTCGATCTGCTGGCCCATTTAATTCAACTGTCAATTTGACTGTTCGATCAGCATTCGGTCGGATAACCATGACCCCCCTTTGGCTACGTGCTCAAGGGCTTGGCATCGCATGCATCGCCCACATGCATCGCGGTGGCACAACTCAGCTGTTTATTGTTCCGGAGTGTTACACCACGTTCAGGAGTCCAGTAACATTTTGGAGCAGAGTGCATTCAGTATTCTCTTGTTTCAAAGCCTTGCATCATGATAGGGGCATCAGATGCCGCCGCTTTCTCAGCAAACGGTGGATGGTGCTGGTACCTGCATTGCAGGATGCTGAGATTCGAGATCCCCTTTCAAGAGACCTGGCCTTATTGTATATGTTTCAACAGCTGGCCCAATGTCATACCTTGACAGCTTGTGGAAGTCGCCTGCAAGAACAAATGAACGGATACCTTGCAGCAGCGCAAAGCTGGCACTGGTCGTGTCCTTCTGCACTACTTTTTTCGCCCGCAAGGGGACCACCAATATTCCCAAGCAACGAAGGCTGGGGAGCTGGAGCGGCGGGGACAACAAGTGCTGGCTGCTGACTCGTTTAGTGAGCGTCGCACTGAAATCAAACTACTGTTGACGAAGGCATGCAGGGACGAGGGATGGCGACCCTGACTGGGGAACATAAGCTCGAGTGCACGGCAACGGTTTACAGCGGAGCAATGGGACAACAGGAATTCTGTCCCTTGCATCCAGTCCGTTCATCGATGTCCCTATTGCAATTCCTGACGCCTCATCACCTCTTCATGCGTATTGCTGTTAACAATACTCAATCGGTTCTAGTTACTGAGGAAGGCAGGCAGGCTTGAGGGGTGGCGATCCCCGAACGGGAATTGTATGCTATATTCAGTCCGTTCATCAACATCCTTAATGCAATTCCTAGTGCTTCGTCATCTTTTCATGCATTCAGTTATTAATAACACTCAATCAGTTCTAGCCGTAACATTACACCAGTGTCTTCCCTAAAAGAGGTTGATTTGAGGCCCATTCTCGAGCATTCAGGCGGTACACAGCGGGAGTAGTTGGCCGCCACGTGCACAAACCGCCCGCCTGCCGTCATCCCCGCCCAGTCGTCAGGCCCCCTCGCGCCTTCCGCCCGCGCCGCCGAGCGCTCTTCGCCAGCGGTCGCCAACGCCGGCGCTGGCCGACCGCCGCGGGCGGCGATGGACTTCGACCAGCAGGCGCAGGCCAAGGAGCTGGCAGCGGCATTCGAGGCGACGCTTGCCCAGGTGGGCCCGCTGCCGCGTCTCGCCCCTCCGTGCAACTGCGCGCCCAACAATGGGCAATTGAAACGGCTCTTTCAGTCGTGGAGATGCCTCTTTTACCCTTCTCTTGCGTAACAGAGCCGCGTTCGCGTAAAGCGGGCGTCTCTCCCTCCTCCCTGGATCGATTGTGTGCCGATCTTGCAGCAGGGTCAGCCACGACGCCTGCGGCGCGGATAATGGGTGACTTCTTGGCTTGCCGCGGGCGCATTTCGAAACCGCAGCCTTCTGCCGTTCCGCCGGCTCGCAGACAAGCCATCGTCGGCGGCGACGGTATATGTTGGTGGCTCAATCGACTGATCCTCTCGGCGCCGTTCAGCACGGTCGACACAAGACTCCGGACATTGGCGCACCGCACCGCAGGCGCGCTCGGTGCGCGTCTTCCTAGTGCTGAGTCTTGCCCGACACCGCCTCGCAGACGCAAGGCCCTTCCGCCGCCGCCCTCCAAAACAGTTTTCTTTCAAACGCAGAAGATATAAAGGACTTGCGATGCAGGCCAGGCCTTCGCAGGAACGACCCGTGACCGAAATTGCACAGCAGACGCAATGCCCCTACCTTGCCGCCCTCCAACACTCCTTCCTTTGACGCCTAACAGACAGAAAGAACTTGCGCTTCAGGTGGACTCCGCGCACGTCTTCCCGGAGATGCGCAGGGCGGCGCTGTGCCAGGCCAAGTGCTGCGACACTTGTCCCAACCGCGAGGCCCTCCAGGCCTGCTACCAGGGCTGCACGCGCCGCGCGGATGCCATGCAGGCCGCCGTGAGCCGGCAGCTGTCGGGCTTCCAGGAGCGGCTGTCGCGGTGCCTGATGCGGTGCCAGGACCAGGCGCGCGACTCGCTCCCGCCGGCGCCCAACGAGCGGCAGGTGGAGAAGGCGACGGCGGCGGCGGCGGCGTGCGCGGGGGCGTGCGGGGCGGAGTACAAGAAGAAGCTGCCCAAGTTGAAGGCGGAGATCGAGGCGCAGATTAAGGGGCTGTGATTGCGATGCTACCTAAGTTGAAGGCAGAGATTGAGGCGCAGATCAAGGGGCTATGATCGGGGTGCTGCCCAAATTGAACGCGGAAATTGAGGCGCAGATCAGGGGGCTATGGTTCAGTGCGAGGAGGAGCTGCCAGCATTGAAGACCTTGAGGAGGAGCTGCCTGAAATGAAGACCTGAATGCAGACGTTGGGGGAGGATAATGGGCTGCGGTTGGGGAGTGCGAGGTAGAGCTGCCCAAGCTGAAGGCAGACATTGAGGCTCAGATCAGGGGATTGTGGTTGGGGAGTAAAGAGGATGCTTCCTGAGTTGAGAGCAGAGATTGAGGCGCAGCTCAAGCGCCCGCGATTGGGGTGCACAAGAAGAGGGTGCCCAAGTTGAAGGCGGAGATGGAGGCACAGACCAGAAGCCTGCGATGGGGGAGTGCAGGGAGGAGCCGCCTGAATTGAAAGCACATATTGAGGCGCTGATCATGGGCTGTGATTGGGGTGTACAAGAAGAAGCTGCCCCCAAATTCAAGGCGGAACTTGAGGCGCAAGTAAAGGGACTGTGATGGGGCAGTGTGGGGAGGAGCTGGAGGAACTGAAGAACTTGAGGAGGAGGTGCATCAAGGTAGCACCTCAATGCAGGCCTTGATACCAGGATCATGGGCTGTGATGTCAGGGAGGCTAAGAGGAGCTGCCCATACGGAAGGCAGAGATTGAAACGCAGATCAGGGGGCTGTGTTTGGGCAGAGCAAGGTGCCGCCTGAATTGATTGAATGCAGACCTTTAGGGGTGCAGATAGCAGGCTGTGATAGGGGAGTACGAAAAGAGTAAGAATTCCTACGTGTGGTGCTGCGGCAATGCTGTTCATGTTGATGCCTTGATATGTCCAAGCGCATGTGCAACAGTTGCAAAATTGTCTGCTGGCCACATTTGGGGTCCCACGTGTCTTTCCCAAGTCGGGGTGAGGGGAGTGCATGGAGGAGCTGTCTGACTTGGAGGCAGGCACTGAGGCAGGGACCAGGGGCTGGATTGGGGAGAGGTGAGAGGAACTGCCCAGACTGACAGCAGACTTGAGGCAAATATCAGGGAGGTCTTGAGGCTCAGATCAGGAAGGGAATCTGTCAGGGTGGGGTGTGTGGATAGTTGGAGGGTGTAGATGAGCTTAATGAATGCAGAGTTGGGATTCATGTATAGTGGGATGGTGATGTTGGGAGCGGGGGGGCAACAGGCATGACAATGAAGCGAGCTCTATCATTGGTGGGCCAAAGATGCCCTGTGTTGGGTTGCATCCATTTGGGGTTGACAGTGGGCTGGAAGAGGGGTTGGGGATGGGCATCAACCCTTCAGTGCACAGCACAGGTTTTTAAGTCCATCCTTTTGGAGGCCCTGCTGTGTATAGCATGGTGCTAGCTCATCCTTTGGATGAATTTTTCGTGTGAGACAGATAACACCAGACGTCTGCACAGGAAGACAGCGCTCAAGACCAACAAGTACGGTGCCACAGTTGAGAAAGTGCCACATCCTACCAAGACGAGCCCTTTGTGCCAGGGTCAGTGGCGAAATGGGCCAGGCATGGTGGCGTGAATGTCTCAATCGGAGCCTGCAGATAGATCAAATTAGTTGGCATCCAGCAGGATGAGTGTGCAAGATTATATCGCGCTGCAGGGGTCTATTGTCAGGGATATCATGCTGTGCAGCAGAACAGATTTTGACATACAAGATCGTGATGCGAATTCGAGTTTTGGAGTGGAAACATCTGGGCTGGACTGAGAGAATCCTTCATTTATTGTTATGGATACAAAGGCTACCTTGGTATAAATATATCAAGAAACCATATATCAGGCTTGATTGCAGGCGTCCTTGCCTTCAGTGCTGTCTCCATTGACCCCAAACTTTTGCGAATTTCAACTGCCTGCAGATGCATCGTTCGTCCAGGGGCAGATGACAAGGCTGGTGGGATCAATCGGCTTGGCTCTGCAGTGACCTGGACCTGGAGTGCTCACAAGGTGTGTGTATTGCTGCTATTGCTCGCAGATTGCTTGGGTGTCAAGCTGGAAAGCTGAACACAAAATAGCTCTATGTCATTATCCCGTATCAATGGGCTCTCGTGTATCCACAGTCTGGAGCATCCAGCGAGAGGTCTCATTGGCCTGTGTGTGCATGTTTGGATGCTTGTCCACTCTCTTGGCAAAAGTTATGCACCCTTATCTCTAGCTTCGACGCTCGTAAGCCCATCAACTGTCGCTTTCGTTGCCCAGACTGTGAATTTTAAGCTGAGAAAAAGGGGCCTTGCTTGTGGCCCAAGTGTCTTTATCCAACATTTCAGGCGCCACATGCATTGAAATTGTGCATTACGCCATTCTTGAAATTACGTAGCTGCCGGGGAAGTCAAGTGTTCAGAAAGTACGCCGTCGTTGGGGTTTCGCCTGTGTGGCCCAGAGCCACTTACCATAGTGAAAAATGCGTAAATGTACTGTACAGTTTGTGCGTTTGCCTGAAGAAATGTCATCAGTATCGCTTTCATGCACTAGTCAATCGAGGTCCGCTGGCAGTATATGAGGATCATGGCTGTCCCAGACGGACCATTTTCCGCATTTTCCCTTCATATTGTACATATGTACACTTTTGCTGTCTTGGGGTGAATATATACCAATTGGAAGTGATGCATCATGTCAGTTCAGTACATCTGTGTTCCCGCTTTCCAGATAGCAGTTACGAGCCAAGCCCTTGACTACGATTGACCCACTTGGCCTCATTCAGTTGTCCCACCCACCAGCCATCACGTGGCGGTTTACAAAAGAGCCAGGCCTAGATGTCAGGCACGTCCACATCCCATTTTGCATTTAACGCGGCTGCAGAGAAGATAAGCGCGACGTCTTTATAACAGCCCCTTCAACACAATGTAGGCATCTGCCCTGGGCAATCCTTGGGGGACAACACGCAAGGATCCTCGCCCGTGCCAATCCCTCAAGCCGACTCCCTCATTTCCTCAAAACAAAATCGTTCCAATACGAATATTTTACTTCAGACCGGGCAAACGTCACAACTGCCTCCCATCAAAATTGCCGGGCCTCAGGTGCCGCGCCCCGTGCCCATCGGCCACCAACCACCGCCACAAAAAAGCGATCCACCTGCAGAGCTGCACGCGGCCTGCAAACGACCCTCAGTACATGCTGAGCCCTTGCGTCACCACATGCATTGCCAAACGACAGCACCAGGGCCGCAACCACCCACGGGCCAGCATCGCAAAACCTCGCCACCGATCCGCCCACATCAGCGATCCAATGCACCTGCAAGGGCCCCGCTTTTTCTTTCAAATCCAGAAAAAAACAGCGCAGCGTGTTCGAGCGCCAGAATGTGCCATATCCCTGCCACATTGTCGTTGACACGTGAGTTCATGTAAAACTGCTGCAACTGCAACACGTCCAATGTTCGCGTTCAATTCCTGCCCGCATCCAAACGCCAAAGCCAACCCGTGGCGCCGTCGCGAGCATGCTAAGAAAACCGCATTTAAAGCCTCTCGAACGATCGACTCGGCGTTGCCGGCGCCACGCCACGCTCCCCCCCCCCCCCCGCCCGAACTCAATCGAAGCCCCTGAACCGCTCCGCCCGCGCCACCCTCCCCACGGCCTTGACGAATGCCGCCGTGCGCAGCGGCACGTCCATCTCCCTGTGGATCTGCCACAACGACTCGAAGGCGGCGCCCATCTTGCGCTCCAGCTTCCGGTTGACCTCCTCCTCATCCCACTTGAAGTTCTGCAGGTTTTGCACCCACTCGAAGAAGCTGACCGTGACGCCGCCGCCGTTGGAGTAGATGTCGGGCAGCACCATGACGCCGCGGTCCTGGAGGATCTTGTCCGCGGCGGGGAGGGTGGGGCCGTTGGCGGCCTCCACCACGATCTTGCAGTCCAGGGACCTGGGGCCCACAGGTCTGCAACTCAGCCACCGTTATCGCTGGGATTGCTTTCGCGTTGTCGCCGCGCATTAGTTAGCTATGATCTGGCAGTCTCGGCTTGGCTTTCTGTCGCTCAGGACCTATGTGCAGCCCTGCGTTGCCTCTGTGTGTGGATGTTCTGGGGTGTTTGCCGGTTGCTTCTCAGTCCGGCTATTCTTGATTGTCCGATTGATTGATTGTTTGACTGGCTGACTGGCTGGCGAATTCTCAACTGGAAATTTATACGAGCTTTGTGACCTCATTGGCCCTTCAAAGCCCCCTGGCATGAGGAAAGGCATTTGACAGCGCCTGACAGATGTTGCGACGGACGACCTGCCCGTTGAGCGGAACACCTCAACCGCGCTCTATTGTCAGTATTGACACTTGGAAAGCAGCTGCTTTGTGTTTCTGCATTGAACTCTGCTTGTCCTGCCACCCAGCTGCTCTGTGAGTAGCACATTTCGGTCACTTTTGCGGCCAATCCAGCACTTAGCAGCGCAATCGACAGCGCTCTGAAAAGGGGTGCGTTCGAATGCATGCTGTCGTACCGACATTTGGGCAGACGAGTTCGCACGCACAAAAATGCATACAATATTTGGGGTAATGCATTTATATTTGGTGAACATTTAGTTTGTGGACCAATTACAAGTATCTGTCCAAAGATATGTACACTTGCGCCAAGGCGCTCGCACGTTTGCTCCTTTGCACACACACCAACACACATAAACGCAAGCAACGGCTGCCGCCGCATCATTCTCTGGTGTTTGCGAATGCACACTGGTCCATCGCCCACGTCACACTTGACACCTTACACATAACACTGGTAGAAAACATCATGTTTGCGATGCCAGCTGCGATGCCATTTTGACGCAAATTGATGCCGTCACGGTGAGTGGGATGGCAGAAAAGGGGCTGTGATGGCATCAATTCGTGTCTAATGGCATCGCAGTTGGCATCGCAAACAGTCTGTTTTCTGCAGGTGTAAATGGCATGTTTGACTTGGTTATTCCTCTGGAATTCATGAAAGCATCGCCAACAAGCCCTCACCTCGCGACGTCCGGCGTGATGACACCCCCCAGGGCCGCGGGCACGAGGATGCTGCAGGGGACCTGCAAGATGGATTCCTTGGCCAGGGCCTGCCCCCCGGCGAACGCCTCCAGCAGGTGCCCTTCGCCCGCGTGGCGCCTCAGCGCTGGGATGTCCAGCCCCTTTGGGTTGGTCGTGGCGCTGTGCTCGTCCGCGATGGCCACCACCTTGCCGCCCATGTCGTGTACGATCTCCGAGGCCCAGGCGCCCACGTTTCCAAAGCCCTGAGGATGAGCTGCGATGAGTGGACCAGACTCAAAGCATTTGCCCCTCACACGACGAAAACGTACCCCCACCCCCACCATTGATGTTGAACAAATGCTGAACAACATGCCAAGCAGCATTCTTGCTGTGCGGGCCAAAAGCCGCACCCGACCCTCCCTCGCGAGGGAAACAAAAGCTGGGAGTGCCATGGCGTGCTGACGACGTCGGTCTGACATGGTGGCGTCAGCACACGCCGTTGAATTCTCCCTTGGCAGCAATAGTCCTACGGACGGAGCGAGGCGATGTCGTCCACCGTTCGCACGCTTTAAAACGCGCGCCCGACAGTGCGTCGGCGACAAGCGTGTGTCGACTTTTGAAACGTTTTCAACCGTTGAAGGTGCCTCCTTAGCTTGCTCGCCAAAGCGCCCTATGGGGGCTTTGGTGTTCGCATCCGAGAAGAGCTTGGACACGAGCAACAGACATGCTACAGCTGGAACAGATCTACGTACACACACGAGACAACCACAACTGGACAGGGATACTGCACATTCCCCGCGTTCCATGGAGCGAGCGAGGGAGTTGGTCAACTCCGCGCGATTTGATCGGACCACAGATTGCTGATAGTTTCTGTTGCTCATGGCAAAAAACAGCAACAAGCAAGCTCACAACACGTTGCTTTCTTCAATTCCAAGCGCGTCCCTATGGCACAAAGTCTGTATGTGCCATATCGAAATATTTGTATAATGTAACATTATTGCAGCATGAATGCGAGGCAGAAGGCGGCCAGGAGGCTGATGGCGGCAATGCCCTGGCGGGCTCATGTGCTGACCCGCGCAATGTCCTTCTCCACCAGTGTGCCGTTCGTTCCTTCAATGCTCTCCTAAAATGTCTGCGATCAGCGGAATGAATCCACCGCTGGGACGGAGCGGCCCATACCGGGACTGCAAGGCCAAGACACATCCATTTTGCATAATTTATGTTTGCGCCTAAACCTGGTTTTACTTGTTGTATTTTGCAAAATTAGAAGCAAAAATAATATTTGCTTTGCGCGTCAAAAGCATAGGGGAGGCGATTTGCTCGCTGCTAGCAAAAGAAGCTAGCAGCAGCCGCTGCAAATGGCCTCAAGGAAGCGTTTTATGTATGGCGGTGCTGCTTGTTCGCAATTGCGCACTCTTCGCGCATGCCCTGATAGTCAGCCAATCACCTGGAATACGAAAGTGTGGTCCGACATCTTCCCGTATCCCATGGCCTTCAGGATCTCCCGAATGCCGAATGCGCAGCCCCGCCCGGTCGCCGCCTCTCTCCCCACAGATCCATGCAGGTGCACGGGCTGACAGAAGCGCCCACCCCAAAGGCTCATCCGCTGTCTTGTGTGCCGATTTCATTTGAAAATTTCTTAAATTTTTGCAGCTCATCGGCAGCTTGACATAGTTCTTGAGTCCCAGTGTTATCGATTCATAGACCTGAATGTTCGGCCATTGGCACGGGCAGTCCAGCAAGCTTTAAGTTGCTGAAAATCTGAAACGCGGCATTCCCAGTTTTGTTACTGTACTGGCTTTGATACATCCTTGCTATAAAAATGCACAGCGCGTTCAAATTGCGCTAGATCCTGCCATCTTGGATGTCCTTTTTTGACGCCGCTCTTGCGCCGAGCATGCGGAGGGGTTGTCGGCGACGCGCACCTTCCCCGTGACAACGCCCGGTGAATAGCCCTTAAATTTGGAGTACTCGTCGAATATCCATGCCATCTCTCGGCCACTCGTGTTCATGTCGGGAGCCGGAATGTCCTCAGCGGGTCCGATGACGTCTTTGATACCCTGCGAGACAGAGAGCGGCGTCTGGAATCCATTGTTTGTTTCCGAGTCATAAAGCCAGCACTTTGGGAAAAGCGGCATGGGCAACACAGCTCAAATGGCGCGAAATGGCCGCTAAACGATTTTGCTGCCAATTGAATCAACATTTTCTCGATCCCGGATGCGTATGATTGATTCAATCGTTGAGCATAGTGCGGTCCGACGGCACAAATTTGCGCTGCGCATACACGAATTTCCAAAAACTCAAATTCAGTAAGCTTCATATATTCAATTACTTTGATATTGTGCTTACGAGGCACTGTGTACAAATTTTCCGAGAGCAAGAATGCGGAACAGGCACCGTTCTTGCAAATTCCCTAAAATAGTGCGCGCAAAGTTTCGAACGTGCAGGACGAGCACCATATCTGTCCTTCTCGTCTGCATATTCTGGTGCAATTCGCACCACCGGTGTGTCAAAAAACTCGGCCAGAACGCCGCACAGCTGTGTGCAGCGGCGGAAGTAGCCAATCGTTTCCCTGAATGGCATGCAATCGATAATTTCAAAAACGTCGTGGCCCGTCGACAAAATCACAGGTCCTCGTCTATCGTCACCGCGGTCGGCCCCTTCAACAAACGTTCGCCGCCCACCTGAACCAATTTCCTGGTAAGTATCTCCAGCTCCCTTTCTGACAGCTTGTGGGGGTCCAGTTGGACTCCACCCTTGGCGCCGCCGAACGGGAGGTCCATCAGCGCGGTTTTCCATGTCATCAAGCTCGCGAGGCTGTAAGTCAATCAGGCAACAGCACACCGTAAGGCAGGAGGCAGCTGTGAGCTCCCTTAGTCTCTAGGTTTGCTAAGCTGTCGCAGCCACCGGCAAAGGAAATGCATTGTGCCGAAGAGATGCTCCTTTATTGCATAAATCGTTGACTGTGTATCCACTCAATCAACGGATACATATCTTTCAGAGCCATCACGACGTAAAGGCACCGATCGTCGGCATTGAAAAGACATGAGCAAATCGGTATTGGCTGCACTTTTCCAGCACAAAATGCACACCTGGAAATGTAGAGGGTAGGGTGAGCGGGGTTGGCGCGAGGGCCTGAGATTAGCGTCAACATGACTCCAACCGTACCAAAATCTGCATAGTGTATTCCCCTTGTGGCATGGAAGCCACGAGAAATGAGGTGGTAGGGTGTAGGGATTCCAAAACCGGAATACTTTCTTGCGGACACAGTGTTTTTTTTATCGCTGATTGCCATGGACCCTTTGTGCGCCGGAGGGAAGCCATTAAAACCTTCTTTAATTTACCACAAGGAGCACAACGAGAGAAATGTACAGTCGGCACATCATCAGTGCTTCACAGTACAGACCAGACCTCCAGTGCGGGCTACTGCCAGTACTCTACAAGGCATTTCAATCCAGATGATGAATTGCTCATGTGTTGAATCAACACTTCGGACACTGTCCTAGTATATTCAACCCTTCCGCATCAAGAACTTTTACCGTCACGCTTTTTGCTCTGCATTTTTTCCTGGAGCGTTATTCCTAATACTTCATGTTGCTACGCAATGATTTTAATAAAGGAGCGTTATCTGTTTTTATTGTTTTCTTCGCAAGAAAAGGGCCAAGCGTTACTTTACTGTGCGGAAGGGTTAAAAATCCACGGTACTCCGCGGACTGCCACACGCGGCTTCCAATCAGTGCTGCTGTCTTTCTGCCGAAGCTGCGGTCGCTTCAGGAGCTGGAACAAACCCAGTGCACCCCACACCACCAACCGCCAACTACCATGGGACCAAGCCAAACAGGTGATAAGCTTCACAGCCGCATCCAAGCTATCGGTGCAGCGTCGCCGTGTGTCGTCCCACCTCCTCACGTCGTCCAGGTCCACATTGGGGTGGAAGCGGAGGCCGCCCTTGAATGGGCCCCTGCTGTTGTTGTGCTGCACGCGGTACGCCCGGAATACCTCCACGCCGCCAGCGTCGCGCGGCACCACCAGCTCCACGGCCACCTCGCGCTTTGGCTCCAGCAGCATGTGCGCGAAGCTGGGCTCGATGCCGAGCAGGCCGAACGCCTGGGGGCCGGCAGGGCGGGGCGGCTTTTATGCGAGCAATGGAAACGCGTGTGCCGTCCCTGTTCGACGCTGCACGATATCGTGGGCAATGCAGATTGCAAGGGGCGACACAAAAACGCCGCAGTCCTCCCGAGATCGACGTCTTGTGTTGCCTCGTGTATTGGGGGGCCGGTCGCGCAAGGCAGGCTCGATCGCAGTGACGGCGTCGGCAGCGCGGAGGTTGGCGTCCGCGGATGATGGCGGTCGATATGCGATGCGTCGCTCGATGCCGGTGTGCGCCAGTGCGTCTGGAACCGCTCGCGAGGGGCGCCAAACACAGTGCGTCCGAGCTGCTCATTCAATCGAATGGCAGTAGCTCGAGCTAACCCCTGACTGGCTTGAACGCGCGTCAGAGTTGGCTCGTCGGCGCCAACGCGCGGAGCCCTCAAGGCCCGCCGGCCCGCCACCCGCGCGGCCGGGTCCGTCGGCGATTGGCGGCGGGCCGGCATCCCTCCTTTCCATTCCCAGCTCGGTAACTTTTCCCAGCGCTTGCTTTCCGAAAAAGAAAGCGCCGATCTCGGTGTCCCGATCTCGGTGTCCCGATCCTGACCTCTTTGACGAAGCTGTTCGTGGCCTCGGCGTGTGAGCCGCGGCGGGCGCCCGCAGCCAAGGCACCGATGGGGATCAGGCCATGGCCGCTCAGGTCGCGCAGCGTGGAGGGCCGCCGCCGTAGGAGGGAAGTCAGCATGGTCGACGAGGGGGGCAGCGGGCGCAGGCGCGGCGGCGTCAGGGGGCTGCGACTGGGCTGGCGTTCCAGTCGGGGGCCCCTGGCGGGCTTACCTGGCGCCTGACTGCAACAGGACCGGTTGTGGGACCGATACGGCTGTACTTTGGGGTCCATTGCCAGTTGGTGGCTTCGCCATTGGCAAAAGAACGTGGGCGCCAACGCATGGCCCTTACAGTACGTCCAGCCAGCGCGTGTGAATTTGCTGGACGTGTTGACGCCTGGGAAGCGCAAGGCAGCGGGCTGCCCTGCAGCAGCGGTTGCAGGGGATCGACTTGCATCGTCTCGTTGACATAGTCAACAGGAACAACGGGCCGTAAGTGACGGTTTTTTAATCAGAACTGGTTGATTATTATTAATAGTTGGACGCATGAAGAGGTGGTGAGACAGCATGAGACAGTAGGAAATGAATGAAAGACAATGATGAAAAAACCAGAATATCCCTGCCCCTTGTATATCATACCACACCATACCATACGGTACCATACCATATCATAGCATATATATGAGGGACAGAATTCCTGTTGTCCCTTCCTCCTCTGTAAACCGTTGCCGTGTACTCGAGCCTACGGTCCCCAGTCAGGGGCCGCCAAACCTCGACCATGCCTGCCATCGTCAGCGTTGACTGCCCAATGAACCATCTTGTCATTGCGCAGGGAAGACTCCAATGGCCATAGCATCGGATGGTTCCTGCTTGTCAACGCGACCGCGGCGCCCTCCCCGTGGCCTATTGGCAGGGATTGAAGCGAGCAACACCCCATTGTGTATGCCCCAAGGAACAGAAGAAAAGCGAGAAGCTGTCGGTGCTGGTATTGTAGGAAACTGGCAGAACACAGCACACATCCAGCGAGCCATTGTTGGTTTCAATACACTTTCTGGGGCTTTGGATGGTCACATACCATGACCACGATTGACCAGCGTTGCACGGCTTATCAGCAAATGTATCTTGTCTTGAATAGATTAGCTTTGGATTGCCCATCGGGCAATTGCCGTTGGGTAATGCCCAACTGAAACACAGATAAAATCCTTGCGAGTAATCAGCCAGGCAATCGATCAGAAAATTCATATGCCATGCTGAGGAGGTAGCCGCCAGCTGCTTGTGAAAAGAATGTCCACGACATGTTGAGCGAACGCAATGTGATGCATCTTTGGGCAACCACAGACACAGGACTTTGAGTGCCAATGTTATTGACAATTCACACTTGAACCCCTGAGGATTAGGCGCAGTTGCCCCTGCACAGGGCATGCAGCAAAACAAGGCTGCGTTATTGATGCTTGCAAACCCTTTCCAGCCAGTACCTAGCCTTCGGCAGGCAGCGGCGAGTGGCAAAATTGCGCAACGGCAGGTGTCCCGCCAACTCCTAGTACTACATGTTGATATGCACCCCATCAGCGGAGCGCATGAGCAAACCCTAATTGTTGTGACACATTTCTGCCTTACCAGTCTCCCACCCGGACATATATTGCTCCATGACAAAACGTTTACAACTTCACCACAATCCAATGTATTGTACCCGAGGTCCCCATACTGCAAATTTGCCCTTCGCTTTGCCAGCACTTAATGCCACTTAGCGAGTGTCTCACCGCATAGTCAGCACCCTAATCCCGTACTTCACTCCATTCACTGCCTCTCCATCCTACAACTAACTGAACACCACTCTCGAGGGCACGAGGGCCGTGTCAGGGGAGGTTCTGCTCTTGGATATCGCGCCAGTGCGCAGCTGTGCGACTGTGAGGCCGTGGGACTGCAGAGACGCACAAGAGACAGGAACGGGTTTGATCCAAAAGGTGTTCGTTACAATGTAGGGTATTCTATTTTTTGGCAACCGCTCGCCAGTGGTCATGCAAGAAATGTGGATTTCTGGAACGCTGGCTTGAATTCATGTCCGTTTATGTCCCAGTTGCACCCCTTGGGCTCCAAATGGCAGGGCCACACCACAGGCGGTTATGTCCCTTCTATTCCAACGTGCTTACCTGCAAGGGTGACATCCTGCTTATCCTCACTTCACTAAGTAAATGTCTATGTTATATATAGTACAAATATTGGTACATTATTCTATTGTACAAAGGCGCTTTGGTTCTGCTCCACTTTGGCACTGCCCTCACACCGCTCCCCTCTAGAGTGAGACCGTCCCCGGCGAGCTCAAGAGATTCTGCTTTTTTGTTCCACGTCGATCGTCACAGGATGATCAGGACCAACTCTGCGTTATCCTCGTCCCTCAAGACGAAGCTGCACCCCCCTTGCGAGGGCCGCAGCACTTGGCCAAAATGTCTTCGGAGTTAGCGACCCACCGTCAACCTTCCGCGGTGCAGCACCTTTCGCCAGCCAATCCCCACTCAAATGCGGTCGTTGGACGTGGTCCCAGGCATAGCTACTAGCAAGCGTGCGGACGCGGGCCCCGAGCGTGGGGCATCTCCACACGCCGGCGCCTTACTAAGGCGCGCGGTGAAGGGTCGACACCCCCCGTGAGGGCTGTGCGATCGCGGGCGGAGGACCCCGTGCGCCGGCGAGGGCGTTGGCGCGACGTGGGCTGACGGGGAGCGACGGGAGGCAAAAAGGGAGGGCGCATTACGTGGTGCGTCGAAGGAATCGCGAACCGTGGACGGGACTGCTGCAAGGCGGAGGTACTGCGGGTTCCGGCAGCGAGCGCGGGCTGCGAACGAAGGCCGAAAGTGGGCGATGTGCGGTCGCCGCTTCTCTGGCTGACTCCGGAGGGGAATCGCCCGTCATTCTGCGCGTGATGGGGCGTTCCTTTCAACAGCCCATCGTTGGGGCCGCCCTCCTTCTCGTCTATGTCATCGCGGTGCTTGACAGTAGCAATCAGGTGGCGCTGGCGTCCGCCACAACGCTCGCACCAACGGATGGTCTTGGGGAGCTTGGCGGCAGGTCCCTCAGGCTCCGTATCGACCCCCGTGCTCCTCTCGTTGCCTTGAATACTTCTCAGCGGCCCGTTTCGCCGCTCGCCAGCGTCTCCTCTGGTCATTATGCCATCGCTGCCCATCACACTTTCTATGCCTGTCGTTGCACTGGCTGCTGTCATGGTATCGACGCCTCGGCACAGTCGCCGAACTGCTTTGTCGTCGCGCCAATCCACCGGACTTCCTTCACATGCCGGCAGACCGAAGCCAGGTGGGAAGCGTGTGGCCTGGGGTTCAGCTCGGGCAGCGCCCGTGCCTCCAGCCTCCCCCCCATGCTTCCCGGTCGGCGCTATTGTCGGCACTGTTGGCTCTGGTCCACGGGCGGTCTAAGCGAGCAATTTGGTCGCTGAAATGGCAAAGGGCACAAGCTGCCAAAAGCGCCACCAGTCCGGCCATAAATAGTCTTTGACAGCAGGCGACGCGGGCGGAACCCCCCGGTCTACCGCCTTGTTGTCAGAAGTGCAGCATGCGTGAGAAAATTCATGATGATGATGATGATGACAGCAGCATGCGTGGGAGAAATACTGACCCGTCGTTTCTGCATCTTGATGACGCCACCCTGCCCTTGCGCCATAACATCATTCTGTGCGATTCCTTTCGTTTTGCAATTAAAATCTCTTTTTTGTAGTGCTGTTATGGTCGAACTCTGTGGGGGCCTTGCCTTGGTCCCTAGACAACTGGTAATCGAGGGGCATTGTCAGCGGGTGGGACTGGTGCTCTCCGACCCGTGTGTCATTGTTGCTGGCGTTCTCTAGCTCCCGTTGATAGTCGTCCCTCTCAGCCGCCTGGGTCAAGTGCTTTGAGTCAATAGGCTGAAGCACGTGTCCGTCAGTCCGTGTATCACCCGTGCGGTATTCCTCTCAGGGCGCTCTGGCATTAGCCAGTGGTTGGATCGTGTGGCTGGGGTCCTCGGTGTTGTAGTATTTGGGGTCAGTCAGTCCCCTCGTCAGTCCCCAACCTCCCCTCTGAGCTCCATTTGTTGGGTTTCATCTAGCGAATCTATCACGTGGCTGGTGCTGGCTTGGTCGAGTGCGGGGTCGTCAAAGCTGTCATCGTTGAAAATTGCACACAACCCAACTTGCATTTCGCGTTCTGTTGACGGTTCTAAAACGTTGCTGTCGTGCACACTTTCTTGGTATCTCTGGTCCCAATCGATCAATGTGTCCACCTGTCAGTGGTCGCCCTTGATTGCGTCTCCACCCAATGTCAGATCATGGGTGCTCCAGTCCAGCTCGGGTCTTGCCTTTGTTAGCAATGGGTGCACCCAATACATACACAACGCCTCGTTACAGCAACTCATGATGCTGCTGCATCGCCATGATACTCAATCAATGCCGTTTTCTCATGTCAACAATTGCTGACGTGCAAACAGCGTTGGCTACGGCCTGGGAGTGGTCGTCTGGTCGATTGGGCATCCACCGACAACGAAATGTCTCTTCAGCAGGCAACCCCTTGTTGCTTGCACTACTGCTTTCATCAATTAACAACTTGTGGACGTCAAATGCGCTCGCAGGCAGATCGCGGCGGCAGGTATGGATCGCGACAGCGTGCCTTGTTGCAAGCCCTCCATTTTGACAAACACATGACCAACCACCCTGCGCGCCACAAAACTGCAGTTGTCAGTTTTATGTGTCATTGATGTTACACTCGACAATCGATTTCCGGACTTCCACAAGCCCTCACCAAGCACTCGCTCCTCAGCCCCGCTGCACGGCACTCAATGGTCACCAATGGAACATTGGGCAGCCACCGCACAAGCACCAATGCAAAAGCCCTTCACATCCCAGGAACTTGAGGCGCCACCCCACCTGGCCGCCCGCTCCCAATAAGGCAAAAAACACAACAAGATTGAGAAAGCCAGTGGCGCCAGCTTTGCTACGATGTTCGCACCAAAAAGCCAACGGTTGACAGGTGGGCCCATCGAAGTTCACAATGGCATGCCAGCCGATGTGCACACTTTGGGGCACATAAAATCGGTGCTGCCCTCAAACCGGGCACGCAGGCTGCCTGGCAACATAAAACGTCGCCAGCATTTGACGGTTCGACGCCCCTGCCGCAGAGGCGCCCAGGCATGCAGCAACCCCACACGTGGGGCGCACGGCGACCCAGCAGACGAGGCAGGCGATCTGGTCGCTATCGCCACTGTCAAATGCGGAAGCAGAATTGCGCACTCCTCTTGTTACTCCCGTCCCTGTCGTCCCAGACGGCCACAAAGCAGCCCAGCAACCTCCATGTATCTATAACAACCTCCATGTATCTATAAACAGCTCACAGAAACAAGTACCCATCCCAAGAGGTCACGTGATGGAATGGGGCGGCCAGGCGACCCCAGCCTGGCGCAAAGCCTTCACTTATTCAGTCTGAAGCACAACAAGCGTCAGCCACTTGCATTGAACGGCCACGCGCTGTGCCCTCCAGGCCCGTTTCACCAGCATGCTCTAAACAAAACGAAACGAATCAATGCCCTGCCAACTCGTTCGACAACACAACAGTCAACATTCAACACTGGGCGACGGGTTTTCTGCCAAACGTTGGCCCAATCGCCAATTCAGCCGGGCCCTCCTGCTGGTTGCCGACACCCAGGAGGACTCCCAGGTCCCACTTGTGCCACACGTTTGTCGCATCGGTCGCAGCCACTTGTGTCCACGACGGCCTGGCTTTGAGATCTTGGCAATCCGTCTGGCATCCCACACATCAGCGCACGCCTCCCGCACGCCCCCCACCCTAAGCAACGCCTCGAGAAAGTCCCATCCCATTCATGCCGGCTGCAAACAGCTCAGTGGATGCCGCAGAAGTTGACTCCTGCAATGCCAGTCTGGCACGCTTTTGCTCGCGCTCCTGGAAAGGTCACAAACACAGCTATTTGAGCGCAGGTCCATGCAAGTCTGTATGCAAGTCATACAACTCATCTCTGTTCGCACCGGTCAACTGTCGCTCTGCTGACACATTTGCAACAATGGGTCCCGTTGGTGAGTGGTACTTTCTTGGACAGCAACTCAATGGGGTTGCTGCCCGCCAGCCCTGCCTCATTTCTGGTGTTGAACAACCATTTGGCACCATGGCATGCTGACACGCTGACAGTCTGTGATCTGCCAATTGAACCAGTTGCATATTCGCCCAGCGCATTGCCGTTCATCATGGACTACGACGCTCTCCATGAGTTGGCTTCATGCGGTGATGTGTAACCGCTGTGTCCCGCCAAGATTTTTGCAAGGATGCATGCGTTCATCCCTTACAATACTCTATCTCGCAGTCAAGGCCCCCTGGACTCCGACTACTATGAGATGCGCACAGTAGGCAAGCCTCCAGCGATGTCAGCAACAAAGGCGGCAAAGCTGTGACTGCAATGGAGCAGACAGACAGCATGTTTGCAGATGTCGCAACTGCATTGTCTGAAGCCGATGGCAAGACAGCTTATAAACACATAGTATCATCAACAACGGCACATGGAACTAAAATCGAGCAACCGTTGCCATACTTTTATGCAACGTTTCACAAGTCGTTGAGGCATGTACCAACAACACGCGCTTTTGCCAAGGAACTCATCATGCGGTGCCACCCTCACCTGGTATATTCGCGTGTCTGACGGCCGAAATTGGTCCTCAAACACCATGACGCTGAAATCCAACAAGATGGAGAACATGGGCGCGCCAACAACGGCAGACAGCCAAAAGGCAGGCACCGAAAACAGCCTCTGGGCCACTCCTGACATGTCTGGCAGGAGCTCCCACCACTGCCAGAGGAGGCTGCAAACATACATAAAGGGGAACCACACGCCAATGCTGATGCCCCAGATGACGATGCCATTGATAACTGTCCAATGATGGGTTCGGACAGCCACCTACAGGGCAATGGACAGTGTCAAATAGCAGTCGACAAAACCTTACCAAGGCAAGGTGTCGGTCTCGGCCAGGGGGAGGATGTTATGGAGACATCGTCCAAGCTGAGCATTGACTGTGCCCATCAGCAAATAGCAGTGCAGAGGCAGTGCCTCCCATGTTAAGACTCAGGCAACCGAGGGTGTAGCAACCTATGGAGGCAGGGACGGGCCACCAAATAGGCACCCCTTTCTGATAGTTCCAGGTTTTGTGGCAAGCTGCTACAGGTGGTTCAGCAGTTTGTGAACATGTGGCAAGCACATACCAAAGGGCAAAGTCAGGGGCACATCCAGGCACTTTGTATGCAAGGTTTCGTTAACATGGCCTTGGTCTTTGGCGACAACTGTCCAATCAACTGGGGTTGCAGTGGTGAGGGAAAAGCACAATACACAATCGTAACGCATTCAATGGCCCCTGCACGGGCACTCCAATGAATAAAGGTTCTGAACTGTTGGTTCGTCCAGCACACCATTGCGACACAGCAAACTCACTGCAGTTATTTGGATTCAACTCCAGGGATACCCACAACGACCTCTATCGACCACTTGTATTTGGCTGTGTGGTGCTCGCGCTTTGTTGGTCTTTCGGTTTGTTGCAGAATCACAGTCCACATGCCTTGCACCACCCACATCTCAACTAGTCCTTGTTGCAAAGCCCACAAGAGAGACTGGCACACAGAACGATTATATGCCTTGAGGAGGGTCTGATCCCCCATAGATGACAGCCCTGCTATTGACAGCTAAGTCCACAGCCACCTTTCTTTCAAATTGCAACACTCTTCCCACAACATAGGGCCATCAGACACAAGCACTGCTCGATCTTGCACAACTCTACATCAGTGTTGATAAAAGACCCACATCCTGCATTTCGAATAGGATATGGGCACCATATCAGGAAATAGACCCTCCATATCCAGGATGTGCGCCTCCACATCCAGGATATGGGTCCCCATGTACCGGATGTGCCATACACTGTATATACATATATCCAGGATAACAGTATCATATCCTGGATGTGCACAGTCAGGATGTGCTCATGTCCTGGATATGTATAATTAAGATATACCTCTGAAGTACAACTCTTACTTGATAAGCGCTACAGCTCTTTCTGCTCAAATAGCAGTTCCCTTTGTAGTCTAGTTTAAAATTTAGTGGAAACTACTTAGTGAAGAGATTAGGACCTTATCATCTTACCAAAGACCTTGCATAAATGATCGTATGCACGCCTGCATACCTTAGGTTGACCATGATCATGATAGCACGTGGAGACTGACTGCCCGTATGATTTCCTTGCATTCATCTCAACTTTGAACCAGACTGGTGCATCAAACACAAACAATGCCCATCCACCTCACCTTGAGGTTGACCGTGATAATAACAGCCGTGTACACGGCCACTCCAGCAGCATTCAGCCCCACCAACTTCCCGTCGCGTTCAGGCCAGTCTAGTGCATATATAGGCCACACGAACGTGATCACGGAGTGCACTAGAGCGTAAAATAGCCACCGACTCAGGCTCTTGAAGAAGCTGCGCCAATCTGAACGCATGGCCTCCATGTACAGCTCCGGTGCCGCCATCACGGTCTCTGCCTGCACGTCCTTCTCCAGAATGGCAAAGGCGATCGTTGGCAGGGAGGTCCAGAACACATTGTAGGTTGCGATGAGGGCTGAGTTGTAAATGGGCTGTGTCGAGAACCCTGATCAGACACACCATTTTGTTGTTCTTGCCGCTGCCACGAAACAGATGGCAGGGGGTTCATCAAGTGCACATATGGTCCATGTTCGTTCCCTCAACTTGGGCCTGTACCCAAACCCCACCCTCCAATGTTGTTATTATTGTCATCATTAATACCTTAATTACAGAGCATTCACTAAACCCGACTCCGCTCCCAGCAGCATCAACATGATGTCAACAGACTGTACCACCTTTCGGCGATGTAGGTCAGAAACAAGTAGAGGAGAGATGTCCAACGTTGTTGCTGTTGTTGTGAATTGTGGTCGAGAAAGCCTTGACACCATAAGGCGTGGTGTGTCCAGCCCATGCATATGCTCCCACTGCAGGTACGATCCATGCTCATGACCACAATGGACTTGCCTGCAATGACCCTTCTCATTGTTGTGATTGTGAGAATACAGTAAAGTATTGGTTGCCAGCCAAAGTGCAGGCAATTTCAGCATTGTGGCAAAACTTCAAATGCATGCGCCGCCCAAATTTGCCTTGCAGGGCAGTGGGCAGTTTTGCAACATCCTGACAAGCGCAAGAAAACAGTATTCCATCCGCACTGAACACATCTCGCCGCCATGGCCCATTGACCTACCTGCCATGAAAAAGTTGAGGTAGACATTCGCCATCACATATGCAAAGTTCTTGTAGAAAGCGTACATCACCACCTCTGTATTGCGCTTGTATGACCATCTGCCACGTCAATCAAATCTCCAATTAAAAAATGCGGAAACAGCTGTCCGTGTATGTGCAACCGAATGTGGATGCAGTCTGAACAAACGTGATTTATTTCAGAAAATCTGTTCATGTTTTACCATACCCCGAGAACCCACCAACACAATCCCTAAACAACAAAAGCACAGATCAACTTTCACACCGATGAAGGAATGAATCTGTCCAACACAGCAAACAACAGTGACAAAATGACAAACTGGCTGCGCACTCGTCTCTATGGAGTTGCGATCATCGGACAGCATGTGTTCTGCCAGCAGCAAGGAGCTATCTGACAACACAGCAGTATAGGCCAAACGATGCCAGTTTGTCCCACCTGCCGTGCACCAGCAACAGGCGAGACAGGAACCTGAACTGTGCCATAGAGAAGTCACTGGCAAGCACTGCAGCCCTGCCCTCCCGCCCGCTGATCCCCACTCCGATGTGCGCTGCCTGGATCATGCCCACGTCGTTTGCACCATCTCCGATTCCCAGGGCGATCGCACCCGCTTTGCACTTGACCAAATTTGTCACCTATTCCACAAACACAGAGGTAGCTCTACAATGTTATGGGACAGGTGGCAAATACTTAACTACGTCGAGGTATTTCAGGGGTGCTTGTTGCCTGTCTTGGCCTTGTAGTGGCAGCAACAGGTATGTACACACGTTGGAATCACTTTTCTTTCCTAGTTTTGTGTTACTGGAGTGGATAACGCAGGGCCTGTTCATGGATTGGTTTGCAACTATGGACTGAACTGAGATCTGCTATTTGATTGACAGGCCATGCACTTTTTTGGTGTTGATACCCATGTTAGCCTGTTACCAAGCCACCAGGACTGAGGGCCCCCAAACTAGGGTGAGGCTCTCTTGCCAGCAGAAATATTCTAAATGCAGTGTATTTTCTGGATTTATTGTGTGATCAAGAAGAACTTATATCCATACACGCATTTTTTGTGTTCTATGCTCGCCACACCTCAGGATTGGGAATCCTGATAGTGGCCACACTGGAGGCTCACACTAAAGATTCAGCATAGGATAAAGACATTGCACTACCTGGTGGTGAAGTTTCTGTAGTCTGCTGATCAGCAACAATAGCACATGCACATTGGTAGCATGGCTGCTCCCCCCAGGGGGTAAGCTGTCTGGGGCATCTGGGAATGCAGCTCAAGGCTTGTGAGTCATCCTTGGGAAGGGATGAGTCCCAACAGCAGTTCTGCTGAAGGGGGGAGCAGTAGGGGCAAGTTAACCTCATCGTATACCACCCAATGCCTCAATGCCAACTTCCCTCTTGCTGTGGCAATTGGGGATAAAGGTTTCAGAGAACGTGGCTCAATCTTCAACACTGTACTGACAACCTTGGCAATTCTAGTCAATCCTTCAATAATGGAGAACAAACAGGCATCGACGTCTGCTGAGCCTGCTGTTGCCAAATTTGCAGTGGTTTGGTTTGCAAGGAGTATGCATGCTGCCTCACACATTTTGCGAAGCGTGACTTTGCTCGATTGCAACAACATGCCAGCAGAGACAAGCCATTCAATGGGTTGGTTCTTGCCAACAAGGCTGCCTGCACTCACTTGTGCCTTCTGTATTGGGGAGACCCGGCAGCACACAACGGCTCGACATTTCTTGCACATGCTCAGAAACTCGTCCTGGAACTTGACCTTCAAGACAACTGCCAGTGCCCCACCGTCCACCACCAGCCCTATCCCAGTCCCTGCGCCTGTCCTCTGCTGGCTGGCAAGTCGTACAACGTCCTGGTGTGCCTGAGTCAGGGCCTGCAAAGTACGGAGACACAGGCATTGCTTGTCCCCTGCCAAATACTCCTCATATCCCGTTCACACACTTTGCCCATTGTGTCCATACTACTCCTTTGTATGTTGAGAACAACATGTGTTTTCCACTGTGTATCGTCGATTTCTGAACATGTGTGTGTCCCACCCAAACCAATGATGAAGAGTGCAGCGAGCTGGAAAAACAAGAAGAAAGAGGATAAGCTGTGGCCCATACAACACCCCAAGGGATTGACAGGGCAGCACTGAACTGAACAACTGGATCGCCTGATCCACCACGTTCGGCTAGCCCATGTGTTAGTTGTCAGGCTCCAAGCTGGTGCTGCAGCAAGCAAGGAAACCTGATTCAGCAACCCAGAGGCGCATAACAGCAGCCCCATCCACATCCCTTGCCCCTCTGCACAATCCAAATCTCCAGCCCGGCGATAAATGTAGCCAGCCCTGCTCCCATAATAGTTCGGGAGCACCATGCTTAAAACTCACCAACTCTGCCTTTGCCAACTCAGTAAAGTCCTCCTCCCTCAGGGTCACCACCTTCATGCCCGCTGTGAACAGGGAACAAGAGTGGCTGATGCTGACGGCCGTTTCAAGCTTGTCACCTGTCAGCATCCACACCTTGATGCCTGCTCGGGATAGGCGTTCGATTGCCTCGGGCACACCATCCTGCACACACAGATAGGGAGGCAAATCATTCAGATCATGAAGGATCACAGCCAAATCATCTGTAAGGTGATGCAGCAGGATGCAAGCCTGAATGTCCCACGTGCTGCATTTGCCATGTGCGACACCCTCTTAAGAGGTCCGTTTCACTGCAAGTATGCCACATATCGAGCTTGCCCAGAAACAACAGATCAGAGACGCTTCTCGAGTGAAGGTGGTGTGCAACTCACTGGAGATGAGTCATTCCACATGCTGGAGCTGCAGCCACAGGCTCCCTGTGTTTCTATTTTGTGTACTTACCAGGAGAGCTGCGGGTGCAGGACAGAGGCAAAACACTTTCTTGTGTTGACACTCCATGTGACCAACAGACAACAACAACTCTTACACATCATTTCATTCCAGGTACCAAATATGATGCGGCATCTTAGAGTTAACAATAGTCTGAAATGAACACCGACCTGCAGTTTGTCTTCCACTGCAGTGGCTCCGAGGAGCACCAGGTTGCGCTCGATCTCATCCGCCATCTCCTCCACCTTCGCCTCCCTCTGAACCAGGGATACACTGGCCTTGTGGTATTTGTCATACCACTCATTGAACTCTGCTTCGCTGAGGTCACGCTGGGCCACAGCCAACGTGCGCAGGCCTGCACTGGCCATCTCGTTCAAGTGTTCGCGCGTGGCCTGGCGGTTCTGCCTCCTGTCTGCCAGCCTTGCCAATATCACTGTGTCTGCACCCTTGCAGTAGAGCCTGGTCAAACAGCAGGGCACAATGGTGAACATGCAAGCCACAATGGAATTTTAATCCTTTCATTTCAAACCAAAGCACTTGCCAACCCATCTGGAATGAGGACCCAGGCAGGGATCGTGCTTAAGACTGGCTGGCAGGGCATGGCTACACAATGCACAGATGTGCTGCAAGGATGTGCTATACAGGACTGTGTATATGCACTATACAATGTGCGGGGCAAATGCATATACTGCAAGCTGTTCTGCCTCTGAGCCACCTGATAAACTGCAACAACAAATCTTGCAGGGAGAGCCAAGGCATGTATACTCCCCACTGAGATTCAGGTGGCTTGCATCCTCATAATGCGACTCCAATATGATACGTAATTCCAATGTGGTACGATTCGCACTACGAATCCCAACTCTTTAGACAGAAAAAGTACTCTAGAAAAAGAATATGAGCAGAGTTGGCACACCTGATCTTGCCATTGGGCAGCTGGCAAACTATGCTCATCCGTTTTCTTGCACTGTTGAATTCCAGCACTGCCAAAACCTTGAGGTCCACCCTTTGGCCCAACACGTTGAGCTGGACAGAGTCCACTGAGCGAGCCATCAAAGTGTACCCCAAATACTTGGCACCTTGGACCAAGGCCTCCTCATCGGGAGACTCTGCCTGGAAAGGGGGGCACATCAAAGGTGTTGGTCAGCCGTACTTCAGTGTTGAGGGTCGCAGGCGTTTTCAGTGCTGTGCGTCAGTTCTGTGGGGCAGATACTGTTGTCGTTGTTCAGGCTGCACAGATCACCACCATCAGAAAGTGTTTTTTGTGTGTGCTTTGGCGTGCGTGCCTGCATCCCAAGCCCGTCGCAAGTCTCCAAACCCATCTGCAACTGTGTGCAATGTTTGATTGTTCATCAACTTTGCCAGTTGTTGTTAATGCGGATCGGCTTGCACTGCACCACATACTGCAAAGGGCCAAATGTCATGGTTCTGCTGGGGAAAAGCAGAAAATAGGCGAATACTTTAATGGTTCCAGCTGACCTCAAGATAAAATGGCCATCGAAAGCCTATGTCCTGCAAACAGTAAAGTCCGCACAATCTGCTGCCCATGCCCTGCAGATGGTCTCTGGCTCCAACGCCTCTGTGACCTGGCTTGCCTCAGCTCCACAGCGTTTACACTGTACAAAGGGTGCCCCTTGCACTTTTGACCATGGCGTGACAATGACCGCTGACCAGCACATCAGCCGTACTGTATGACTTGACCAATCGGTGACTGGCCTCCTGCCAGTTCACTTGAGGGCCCGCAAACTGTGGCATTGGCAGGTAGTTGAGAGCGTCTTTGAAGCGAGCAATGAATGGCACAGCAAGCACAGGTAGGAGCCATGCTGCCTGGTGTGAACAAGCTGTTTGTCGGTGATGGTGTATTGACCTTTTCAGGTTGGCTGAGAACATGAAGCAGCCAAATCCTGCAGCTACACCAGGTGCTGATAGTGGACAGAGCCGTCTAGGGTCCCCTTGCAGCATATCCTGACCGTCCTCCATTGTATAGCAACCACGACAGTAAAATGACACATAAGAGCAGCCCAGACATTACTTCACAATTCAGCTGTGCAAAATCGTGCAACCATGAACGAATGTGGCCTGAAGGCTCCCCTGTGCATGGCCTCTTTTGCATCCTTCCTCTGGTTGCTGTGAACCCTTGCTCCAACCCTGGCATGGTGTGGTGCACCACAAGGCCAGAGCTAGACTTTGCAGTTCCAAAAGCTGGTGGCAACAACGTTCACAGACCAGCAAAATCGCTTGACAATAAAGGATTCTCTGAACAGCTAACGCCGCCTACCTATTGCCACTCAAAAAACTTTTGCCAGCACAGTAGGACAGTATCAAAGAAAGTGAAAAAGTAAAAGAGGAAGGGTACAAAGGACAATATAGCACTGCCATGAAATGCAAGTGAATGTGCCATGCCATATTGTGTGCAGCATCCTGCTGTTACTCGTTCCAGTCCACATGATGCTTTCTGCCGAATTACCAACAAGATGCTAGAAGTGGCTTACCAGCAACCATGCCATGCAACCCACATCGAGGTGTTGTTTTAGGTAATTCTACCATAAGAAGAAGAAGATCCGTCTGTTTCATATTGCTCCTTCTTTTCTTTTCCCATTCTGCTGCAAGGGATTTGAACCTAAACTCTTAGCGAAGTGCAATGCAAAACTTTCAGAATAAGGGATACAAAGCTCTTAGCAATGAAAACCATAGGAAACACAGGAAGGGGCATCACCTGGTACACAGGCTCATTGCCTTCACCAATTGTGGGCACCACTGTATTGCACACAGCCAAGTGGAAAAAGAAGTCCCCTGTTGTGAGTCCCATCTGCCCATTCTGTCAGAACACGAAGTGCACCACTTCAGAACAAATCGCTGTTCACACAAGGGCATTGTTGCCACAGATACACAAATCCACCCTACACATAGAACCATAAAACTGCAAAACACACCCATCACCGATTCTAATACAATTTATGCAGTCTTTTGCGCAATTGGCATCTTGTGCCAGCACCCACTGGCCTTGAAGGTGTTCCTATCAGAACCACCTCCGTCAGGCTGCAACTAAAAATGCAAAAATACAATTCTTTGTGGGTACCACAGAACTCCTTCCAGCACACAGTGGTGCGTATGGTCAAAGAATAGTATCTCAAATTGTACCTGATGAGTACCGAACACAACTGCTAACACAGTATTGTACGAACAATAGTTTCAAGGTATACACCCTCGCACCACCACAAATTCCACAAGTGTGCAAGCACGCAAACTTTGGAAAAACAATGGACAAGTTGACTGGGCCCCGCTTTCCCATCCTGCACACTGCAATGTGTCCAACCCAACATCGTTACATTCCATCGCATGCATCTTATGGAACATTGGACCACCACATGTTCAATGCATGCATATTATCGACCGCTAGAGCTGTACATGATAACCTCCAAAAACAACAATTCGAAGCAGTATTCTATCCCCAAGCGCTCAATCCAGAAAAAGGAGAAGGGAACATCCAGGACAGGTGCCGCCATCCTCACCTCCTGGTGCACCCTCCTGGATGACCTCCTCTCAATCGATTTTCTGATGATGGGGTCCAGGGCGATGGAGTGAGGCGTGTCGAGCTTAAGCCCCTTGGGAAGGCAGAGCTCTCCAGGCATGCTCCGTGTGTCTCTACCGTACAAGTGGCCACCGATGCTGGCCCATACAAAGCCCATCACGTTCTGAGTGAGAGTGCCTGCAGGGAGGGCACAACACAAATGTGTACAATTTTGTCTTACTGTAGACTGGTATGAGTGAACATTGGCCCCATGATATGGTTTGACACTGGTTTTGCATGTGCTGGTAATATGAAATTCATTTGCCATTTGCACTGTAACAAAAAACAACAGACGCACAGTGCCATCTTTCTCAGGCTTGGAGGGAGGCCTCAAGTGGAGCACCGAAAAGGATCTTCCTGCAGTTGTACCGCGTGCAGGGTACAAAAGCAGGACACATGATTGTCCTGCAATGGCCTGAATTCTGCGTGACAACGGAATGCACACATGCTGTTTCGACAGCAACAATCCTAATCAGGGGATACAAATTTAGGTTCTTGGACATGCTTGGGGATCCAACAGCACAACAGGGAGACAGTTTGCCATTTGGTGTGGATAGTCCAAGTCATCTAAGCAATGTACAACACTGGCCACAGTCCTGGTATGGGTTATCATGGATGCAGAAATCTTCACACATCAACTGGCACAGTATGTCTGTGTAACACTTGGTGCTGGCACCCCCAGTGCAATCTGAGCGTACAACAAGGCACAAGTATCGATTTCAAGCAGCACAGCATGGCAGCTTGGTTCCTCTGATGCTGGCCAACATACAAAATTGTGGCTGCAAGGCAAGGGCTATAGAAGTGTCCAAAGCACAGGGCAGTTCGACATCTAGACACTTGTTACTGTCGGCATCGCGAAAATTACTGAATGGACAGAAAACGGCCCAAGCGATTCTCATCACTTGTCTTGTCCTCTAAATTCCGAAGTTGTGTTGTTTTCCAGTCCCAATAGAAGAGATTCAGGTCTATTGCCATCTTGAGCAGTGGCAACTTAAGGGCCCAAACAGGGGCTTGGCTGTTGAGTGTAGGCAGTGAGACTCTGTGACTTGAAAGGTGATGTACAAGCTTCCCAACATGACAGGAGCTGCTATAGGCGGTGAGTGGATCGCATTTGCTTTCTCGTGAGATGTCACAAGCACAAGTCTCTTCTGTCAGGATGGGGGTTGCAACTACTCTTGCAAGTGTGCTGTAAAGTTTGGTACTAAAAGACAAGGCAATCAGACGTCTTCAGACCCATTACCTGTCTTGTCTGACAGCACATATTCCACCTGACCCAGGTCTTCATTCAAGGTGGTGGTCCTGCACTTGAAGGGCGTGTCAGAGGCCTCATGGTACATCTCCAAGTCCCAGTTAAGGAACACGCACTGTGCGACCTTCACAACCTCCAGGGTGACATACAGGGAGATTGGGATCATCTGATTTAGGAGGATGACAAATCGCAGGAAGGTCACCAGGGCACCCTGCGTGTTGGGCCCAAACTCGGGCCACCCCCTGGAGGCCTCCAGGTACCAGTCGTCACCGTGCTGCTGCAGCCAGTAGTGCCGCCCAATGGCACCTCCAACAGAAAACACCACCTGGAGGCCAACAGGTCCAGTAGCTTTGCAAATTGAAATATCCAGTTTGCTGTGCTTCGCATGTGCCAAAAGCATTCTTTCTCCACAAGGCAAGCGTGGCACTGGCAGCCACCCACAATGGCTGGCTGTCACTGTGGGCAAGTCACTCACGAAATCGAATCTCAGCAGCCTCAAGCTGGTTCCCAGCGGCTCTACATGGAGTGCAACTGGTAAGGAAAGCTGTCAGCTCCAGCATGTACTGAAACCAACGATGTTGGTACCAGCATGCTGGGACGCACAATCCCCGCAACACAACGCACAGCGCTACAGAAACTGTAAAAATTTCGAAACCTACAAACGTAAACGCATCAACAGTCTGCCCACCTGCACAGCAAAGACCACCAAGACCAGCACATTCATATGGCGCTCGAGCTGTGTGACTTTTCGGGGTGCCGCTTGTTGGTTGCGCCGTATCTTTGTGTCATCCCCTGAAAACACAACTACACCGAGTACCCATTCTGTCTTGCGTAGGGTGGAACCCCGCAACAACAGGTTGGAGGCATCCAGGCCTTCCTCTGTGCTGCCCACAACCGCACCCTCAAACTGGACGATGCACAGAACGGCTGTGTCAAAGATGCCATGGCTGCTGCAGGGAGGTCATGAACCATACAATGGGCATTAACTACTTTGACACGGCAGTGTGCGAAGCCAGGCATATGGGGATCAAATGAACAGATGTTGGATGGCGCAGCACCTGTCATCTCCTTTCAGGTGCGTTGGCTTAGATTCCTCGTGTGCTGACTGCACATAACAACTGCAATGCACAGGTTCAGGCTGCTCTAACAATTCATTTCGACCCCATTCTTTCGATGCCTTCCCGTCCCATTTCGTTTTCTCTCTTTAAGGATTCCTGCCAGGTTTTCTGCAGAACAGAATAGCAAGCAGTTGTCTGTGTTACAAAACGAGAAAACGATAAGGCATAGAAACCTTGGAGCACCATTTCTTGTTTGAGACCTAGCCGCAACCAAACGCAAATCGAACATTGTTGGAGGCATTTCCTCATTAGCTCCTCCTACAGACCAATCATGCAATCGACATAGATTCGAAAACCAAAACCAACTCAATGCCCAAGGGACAAACAAATAACACTGCACACAATTCAGCAACACTTGCTAGAGGGTACGAATCGCCAAACTCCACAATCCCAGCATTGGACACAACAAGATGCACCAAAAGGCACAAACAACAGCGCCCACCACCAACACCAACACCACCAAAAGAAGGGGGGAAGTTACAGAAAGATTCACCAAGAAGATGCCAATTGGAAAAGCACATGGCTTTCTGCCAGAAAGGCACAGCAGAACTAACGTCAACAATAGCACAGTCCTCAGTTACTGCAGCTGAATCAGCCACCACTGCTTGTACAGCAGTTTGGATGCACTGCACAGGTGCTGGACCACTTATGCTGCAGGACTTGTGGGCCTGATGCCAAAGAGTAAAGGTGTTTTGGCATGTCGTTCCATTTTCTTGCTGTCCACACTCCCCTGTACTGTGTGCTATTTCTGTTGCACTCAGGAGTTTGCACTGTGTTCACCATACAACTCAATATTGTCGAATTCTTCCTTGAAGGAAGAGTGCCCGCTGTCAGGCACAGTTCCCCTGTGGGAACAGAAACTTCAAGCGCACATCGGGCACAGCCCTCAAAAAGGGGTTACCAGGTACAAGGGTTGACTTCCCACGCATGGTGCAGTTCAACGAATCAGGTTCTAGAGGGGGCATATCCACTACAGCTTTCATGTTTGGTGGACGTTGGTTATAGTGTTGAAGGCACACAGCTTCCGCAACATTTATACTGTCACTTCATATTCTTGACTTAGGGTCGCATCTGCTGCAGCCCTCAAATATCAAAATTCCAGATATCAGGATAGAGGGTGCACACCTGGTACAGCTTTTCATTTGGGTGCTCGCACTCCAGCCGCTTGCCCTCTAGCTCCTTGGCCAGTTCTCTAGCATCTTTGCAAGCCTCAGTCGCAGGGTAGCAGTACTTCAGCTTCAAGTTAGTCTCCCCATCCAAGTTTGCCGTCTCCACCCAGCACAGGCCCTCGTCATCAGGGGAGGACAGAAACAGGATGTCCGCTGGGAACTCGGAATCCCGCATAACCCTCACGATGTCCCCAACCTGTGGGTAGCAATGGGGGCAAGGCCTTGTTACCGCAACCTACTGGTCTGATTCACTGTTAATCTTAGTCCAAGTGCCTATTCATTTCAACAACATTCTTTCAAAACCCTTGATTCACACCCTCAACCTGCAGATCGTGTAAGGGGCCAAGCTCCTTGTCAGCCCATTCGTTTCTTTCTCCTAACTCCTTTCAAAGCTTGTGGACGCCCCAATCTGTGGATCCCACATGCACAGGCATCATAGGCATGTGCACCATGGAATATGTGCACATGTCCTTGATGCAAATCAACCATGGAATACACAAATTTCAGAAGAGCTTTGCAAACAAATGTTTGCCATGTCTCTTACCCGCGCTACTTGCAGTGCCTCTCAACCAACTTTCTGCATCGCCGAGACATCGGATTCTGGATTCGATTCATCGGATTCGTGATGTATTGAACGGAACAGACAGAAACAAGGCCAAAACCCCAGGATCTAAAACTGTATGTTGCAGTGTGAGTCTCTGTGGCTCATGGAAGGCAGGCTCAAGGGGGGAGGGGGGAAAAACATCGTGGCAATGAGATGTGCCCAGGGAGCTGACCCAACCATCACACACACCATCCCATGTTAACAGACACTTGCGCAGTGTCCAGCCATCTGCTTTGCTATCACAGATGCTGCCAATTGGGACAGAGCCTCCCCACCTTGAGGTCCTGCCATTTGGACACCGCTGGCTTGCTTCCAGCTAGCAGCACGTCCACCTCCCGATTGTTCACCTCCCCATCGCTCTTGTGACGATTGTAGTCGTCATAGATCTCCTTTGCGGCGTTGATGCTCAGCACGAACAGCAGCGGGGCGATGGTGGTGACCCAGCTGGTGGGCGAGAGCTGGGGAATGAGCTGGAGGGCTGCTATGAAAAGAAAATACAGGTTTGCGACCCGGCTGAACTGGTTGAACAGGTTAATGAAGATGAAGTTGTAGAAGGTGTACTTTGCAGTGCGGATGTAGTTGGTTGGAAATTCATGGTTTAGTCGGCTGTGGGGGGGATCTGGTTTGAGCCTGAAGGACACAGTGCGGATGTCTGCCCTGACGGGTCGATGGTTGGTGTGGGGGCGCCGTGACTGCGAGGTCTGGCCATGCACCTGGCAGCAAGAGACACAAAGGGAATGTAAGTCACAGCAGGGAAAGTTGCACAATGCACACAGGACCCAACAGCGCCCAGAATATTCTGTCAGCGATGTGTCCCATTTCAACGAATGCTGCCAAGGTGACCTTGAGCAACTGGCAGCCCCAGTAGAGGATGTGCTAAAAGAATTTCAGCTCTCAAGGTGCTCAACAGGGAAAGCATGCACATCAGTGTGCATAGACAGCTGACAGGACAACACAGGTCATTGGGTTGGGGATGCAGGGGTGAAAGATGAGCACTGGACAGCAGCACCTGCTGCATAGTGTGCATCCTTGCCCATTTGGAGTTCGCTGTTTCCAATCGCTTGAGCAACAGGCCTGTGACTGCCACTTTTAACGTAACCAGTCTGCATTCATCGAAGTAGCACCCTTTGATGAACTAATTCCTGCGATCCCATACACTTCAGTGAGGCACCGCCCCTACCCCGCGCCACGTGATGGTGGGAGCTCCTGATGCGCTCATCGTGCGGGTATGAGCGCATGAACTGAGAAAAGATAGCTCTTGCAGACTGCATGGGTGCATTTTGCAGCAGGGTGGGTGGGGGGTGGGGGGTTGGGGGGGTGAAGGCAGGTTTGCAAATTGGTTGGTGAAAACCAGCCACTGCCTGCTGCAGTGGCAACATGAATGCATCGTCAACACAAAGGCCAGTCTAGTGCAAGGCTCGCCTGTCTTGGCACGTTGTCACCACTGGGTAATGTCGTACATTGGAAAGCACTTGAGCACATGCTCAGAAAGGGGGGCCACCGTGCGGTAGTTGCGCTTTTGCGAACGTCCACCTTCGGTATTTTCCTTCCGACGCCGCTCGGGGACGGCCCCTCCTCCTACCTGTGACATCTCCAGCCTGGCCGACGCCTCCGACGCGCGGAGGGCCTCGTGGCCGCTCCGCTCGAGCCCCCAGCCAGCGCTGCCGCCTGCGCACACCGCCAATAACGCTCAGCGACCGGCATCCGATCGTCCGCAGCCATCTCAATCGCCAGCCCAGGCGGAGGGTGCAAGCACCGCTAGCCCCCCCTTCCCGGTGGGCCTTCTTCACGATATGTTCGGGATCGGCACCGAGACAAAAATTCCACCGACAATCCAAACGGCAAAAGGCAGCCGACTGGCGCGCCCTGGCGTAGCCCTGCAGTCGGCGGCCGCGCCCACCGCGCCCCTCGCCGGAAGCGGATGCCGTCCAATGTGCCCCGCCCATGCAATCAAGCATCCTCCGGCTTCAACCCGCGTTCCTCCCTTCGGGGCCCGTTCGACCTCGCGCCCGGTGCACTCGCCCATGCCGCGCCCGGCCCCCTATTCCCCCACCCCGCCCACATAGCGGATCCCCACCCAACCTCGGTGCGCCCAACGGTCGCAGCGGCTCGCGTCATGGCCCCTCCCGAGCGGCGCAAACCGCCTCGGCTCAAGCCGCTCGCACCGATCCCAGGCATCAAATCTCGCCAACGGCGCCACTCCCACCCCAACCGGCCCACCCGCTCCAGGCCAGCCGACTTCGAGCCCCACCTTGCCCTCACGCCGCGGCGTGCCCCGGCCTTTGGTCCCCTCCGCCGGGAGCAGGCCTCAGAGGATGCGGCCAGCAGATTGCGCCCGCGCCTCTTCCCCTTCGCAGCAGATCGCAGTCGCGCAGCACAGCACAGCCGCCCGCCGATCGCGGACGTCCCAGATTTGCCCCGCAGTGCCTCACAGCGGAAGCACCACCCCGCTGGATTTACCCCCAACGACTCTGCCGCCAGGAGAGGATCCTGTCACAGCGTGTGGCTCCCTCTGAGTTCCGGCACTCCCGGCTCACCGCACTTGGCCTTGAATCCTCTCCCCCGCCCGCCACCTCAGAATGCGCCCCGCGGATTGACAGGCGCGCTTCACGATTGCACGCGGCCTTTGCGGTCCGTGGCTGCCCGGCAGCTGGACAGGATGAACGGATGGCTCAACAGGATGGCTCCCGGAGCGGGGAGTGGCCTGTAGATGGCCCTCGGGTGCAAGTCGGCAGGGAGAGTGTGGGGGTTTGGGCGGTGAAGGGGGGTGGCAGCGGCCACGGCTGGGAGGGGCACGGAGACCGGCGGGGCTGGCGCTGAGGTAGGAGGTGGGTGTTACGCGGGCGGGGGGGGTGGGGGTGGGGTGGGGAAACGCGTAACCAGGCTGGTGCTGTGACGATCGGGTGCCGGCCATTTCGTCTAAAGACAACTCGTCTAACGGACAACTGGTCTAAGGACATTACGTCTAATGGACAACTCGTCTAAAATTTCGTTGACCCGAGTTGACTCACTCATATCCACATCGCAGAAGCAGCCGGTGCCCCGGGGACCCTCACCCGTCCAGCGCATTCCCCTAAACCCAAAAAACAACTCACTCACATCCGCATTCCAGCTCAAGCCGGTGACCTGAGGGCCCTCACCCGTTCAACGCATTCCCCTAAACCCCAAAACCAACTCACTCACATCCGCATTCCAGCTCAAGCCGGTGACCTGAGGGCCCTCACCCGTTCAGCGCATTCCCCTTAACCCAAAAAACAACTCACTCACATCCACATTCTTGCTGAAGCCGGTGACTCGCAGCCACGTCTTCAATCAAAACTGCACGCCCTGGGCAGTCACGACGTTCGCACCGCCAGTAACTGGTGTACTCCACCACCCGGTTCCTTGTGTAGAGGTGCCCGTGAGCGTGGAGCTTCAACGCCCTTTGTCCACGAATCAATTCCCATTGTGGACTGGGGTCGCGTTGGCCTGCCTCTCCCATCGATCCACCTTCTTGCCTTGGAGGATCTGCTGGCTCCCTCGCTGCCAATCGGCGCTGCCATCGGGTTGCCTCTCCCGTCGATCCACCTTTGGCACTTGCAGAATCTCCGTGCTCCATGTCTGCCGGTCGACTCTCCCTTTTCGCCCTCCCCCGTCGATCTATTTTCGCCCCTTGGAGGATCTAGCGGCTCCATCGCCGCCGATCGGAGCAGACGTTCGGCTACCTCTGATCCCGTCGATCCACCTCCGCGCCCGGTAGAATCTCCGCTTTCCATAGGTGCCAGTCGACGCCGCAGCTGCGCAAACCGTGGCACACCCGCCAGCCACGCGCCTGCATGGGCGCTCACCCTCCTGTGCTATCCCGCCCCCTGTGCGCGCGTCAGGAGCGCGCCCAGGAACCAGTTCGGAATGCAGCCCGCCACTATCGGAATGAAATGTAATTGTAGCTTAAATGCAGTTAATGGGCGCTGTTTAGACGAGTTGACTCAACTCGTCTAAAGACAACCCGTCTAACACAAAGACGGAGTCAATGTTGCCATTGACTTCACCATAGGGCACTTTAACACATGCGACGGCTTTGAAAACGAGTGGTATTCATAACAGGGAAGTTTGTGTCACAGGTACACAACCAACCCGTGGCCGCGTTGAGGGTGGATAACTCGTTAGACGAGTTGTCCTTAGACCAAATGTCCTTAGACCACTTGTCCGTTAGACGAGTTGTCTTTAGACGAATGGGCCGGACACCGTGACGATCATTGCGCGTATTCCGGGCTGGCCATGCCCGTGATGGCGTGCGGTGAAGGCGGCATATTTAGTGCATATTTTGCAGGGCATATTTCCGGCAAGTGAACCGGATGGACCGAGGTGTGAATCCAACGAGTGTTGGGCCTGCCTCCGGCGTGCAGCGGGGGGGGGCTTTCACATGGGTGTTTTGGTTTGTGGGCAGTCGGCTGAGGTTGCAGGTATCGCAACCAGGGCTGTTTCGCGTTGCCAGCAAGGCGTCTTCAGTGGGAAAGCGCTTGGACGTCGTCCAACTTTGACTGGCGGAAAGAGGTGGAAGTTCCAACCATTTTCCTTGTGCTGCTGTTTGTCCGATTTCGACACCTAGGATACCTTTTGTTATCCACCCGACTGTGTCGTATTAGATGTGTATCAAATCCATGTTGTGTATTTGAATGTGGGCTTGATGCTCCTTCTGACCATCTCCATCTGTTTGGGGGGTCTGGAACTTCCAGCTGCTTGCAAATCGCCTTTCAATCGAAACCCATACCATGTTCAATAAACCGTTAGTCATGTTGTTACCTCGGTCAATGAGCGACAATTGACCATGCTTGGTTTTTACGGCGTAAACGCTGAGCATTTACGCATGTTTACATGTAAAAACCATGTTGACCTTTTTACGTATAATATGTGGTAAAATACCTAAATTTTGACCCGGTGTTCATAAAGACAGTACATATTGACTCAGGGAGCCCGGGCAGTGGCGACCAGACGCTTGGACTGGGCAGAAAATGGCTGTTTGTTCGACGCCGCCTTTGCCCTCGCCGAGGGAGAGGCGGCTCTGTGTCGCTGGTTCTCCAGGAAGCGAAGGACTGATCATTTTATGCGAAATCATTACGTAACCTGGGTGATCCAACGAGTCGTAAAACCATGTAGATACAGCCGCAGAAATAGGCCCTTTTGCAAATTTAAGGTTTCACGCGTAAAAAAAAGTAAACGAGAAAACGTAAACGTAAATGCAAACGTAAAGACCAAGCATGTAGTTGAACTACAGATGGCACCTGGATCGCACAATACCAGATATTTGCAGGGGCAGCATTTAAGCATTTGATAAGTAAGACAGCATGTTGGCATTGTTAGAAAATGAAGCGACAGCAGCTTGAGAGGCGATGTTGATGCATTCATAGCATGCATGTGTTGGCCAACGCATTTCTGGACGTAAAACACACTTGCGAAAATCAGAAATGCAACTAGATGCCGTAATGCTCGGCAGTTTTGTAAAAACTTGGTTAAATCAACTAATGGTCCTTGTGGAAGCGAGTGAAATAAATAAGTAGATAATTATAAGGTGTACGGGTTAAATGCGGGGCAGATGGATATGGCCATCATGGTGTTATTTGCGGTGAAACAGATAAATGGGGGACGCGAAATGAGTATGCTTGCAATGAAGGTCACTTGATTGACACACTAATTCTGTAGCCCATACGATTGCGCCTTTGCTTTCTTTCCCTGGGAACGGCTGTGTGTGGGCGGCGTGGTTCTCGTCTCTATGTAGGAAAGGACTGCCAGATCATTTGGCACAACTTATCACCAGGGCGCTGTGGCACAATGATACAAAAAGGCAAAATGGCAATTTTGATGATTTAGTGCAGGCTTGGCATTTACAGCTTGGACACTTTACATTTACGGCTATTTAAGTGTAACAATGGTTTTTACGTTTTTCTCGTAAATAGGCATAAAATGCGTAACAATGGGCCCTGTGTACTTGAAGACAGTACATACCGACTAAGGGAGTCCGGAGGGTGGCATCTAGACTCTCTGAAGTGTGCCCAAAACGACCTTTGCAAAGGTCCAGCAATTGCCGGAGGACGTCGTCCGCCTTGCCAAGGACGACGTGGACGCTGCGTTGCCGATGATCGAGGGTTGGTAGAAGTCCTAATTGTCTGGGACATTGTGATATAACCTTGGCGTGTCGGCGAGCCGTGAATATGCGTAAATGTGGCCGCAAATCTGGCCATTTCTCTATTTGCCCGTTTTGGCGCGTAAATAGATAAACACAAATGGAGCCATAAACGTAAAGATCAAGCCTTGCTCAGTGTGGTGTTAGGATAGCTCAGAAGGTTTAATTGGGTTATTGAATGTCAAAGCGTGTCCATCGCATTGCCCTTCTCGTTGCGGAACGTGTCCGTGAACATCACGGGGGCAATTCGTTCAGGTGACTTCCTCAATCAGCGCACAGCGCCCACGCCCGCCGCGCGCAACAGGGAGCCTTCCTTGGCCGCCCGTTGGCCACCTGTGAAACAAACCGTGAACTTGCGGGCGGGGCGCCAGATTGGGCGCAGCGACACCACTGACACAATGCCAGTCGCCTCTCACCCAGCCTTGACCCGT